CAGCATTTATTAATGCCCCACTGCTGGGCGTGGGCCTCCCTTCAAGCGAGAGTCATAGTCCACCACTCTGGCCAAGTGCGGGTTGGCGGACTTCACATGTCTTTCAAAAACTTGCTAGGTTTCTCTCAGACGTGTAGGTTTCCTCACGGTGCTTTTCTTCATTGTAAAGCATGTAAGACACCACTGTGCTACCACTTCGTTTATAATGCAAAATCGAACCTATTACTTACAAACATGACGATGGCTGGGTTTTTGTAAAAACATCTATAAAATTATTTTTCATGTTGTGGGACGCTTCAATTAGTCTCTGCCAGTGATAGTATTATAGAGATTGATTTTCCCATTGTTTTCATAAGGGATGAGATACTGATGTCCCCCGAAACATTTGATATAATTGAGGGGATTTACAAAATAAACCTTTTTAAATATAATAAAATATTCGGAATTTGTTCCGAATATAATAATATTCGGAACAAATTCCGAAAAAATCGTTAAACGAAAAAAATGTGAGTGATATTTAAAGTAAAAAATGTATTTGGCTCGAGCTCGAATTTCACAAAGAGCATTATAGTTATGAAGGATTTCTAGGCACAAAAAGGCCTAACGAGGGAAGAGCTGGTAGATAAACTATTTACATATATGCAAAAACGAGTTAATCCGTAGTTCGTAGATGCGTGAAATAAGGACAAACTAACAAACAAATAAATACACGTTCACATTTATTATATTACTAGCGTCTCACCCTCACTTCACTCGAATGCGTCCTTTGATGATGTATTTATATTATTATACAGACAGCACCACCTTTTGTCATTTTGAATATAAATAATAGCCAATGTATTAGGTCACAGTCTGTCTTCCCCACGACAGGTCACATGTTAGGCCTTCGTGGCTTAGTGCTTAAGCGCCCCATTGTGACAGGGAAGGTTCCGTGAAGTTTTAGTAGGTAATATTAGCTTTTCCAGCCCGGTGAGTCCCACAGGACCCCCTGTATGTATGCAACATTTCGCAAGAATAAAAAAAAGTCATAGTTTAAATGTGACATTTCTAATTCGCCCAGCCGTTTCTGCGTGAAGGGTCAACAAACATACGCACACGCAATTCGTATTTATAACACTACTTTGACTACTTTAATATTTTTGTAAGTGTGATTCGAACCTGTGACCTACGTATCTGTGTGGGACCAGGCGGTATCTTGCTTTATTTAATCAACGCTATTCACAGGCAATGAACAACGATTGTTCAGTCGCTTGAAGCATTTGATTATCGCGGAGCCGATAGAGGCGAATCCCATCTATTAACTAATGATAAGTTTTTAGATTAAATCTATATGCAAATAAATATTTATTTTAACCTATTTATCCTGAGTCAGCTAGATGGATTAGACGTTTACAATTATGCAAGGATTTTAAGTGTACATTGTCTTTGTATTTATAGCTAGCATTGCCCGCGGCTTCGCCCGCGGCTTCGCCCGCGGCTTCGCCCGCGGCTCCGCCCGCGGCTCCGCCCGCGTTCAGATGACCAAAAACCAAATTCTTAGGTTTTACATATTATAGTATACTCTAACAATGCAGTTTTTGTATTTTTTCTCAGAAATAAGATATTTTCCTATATGTTGACCCGGATAACTAGCTATCATCATACCAAATTTCAATAAAATCTGTCCAGTGGTTTTCTCGTGACGCGGTAACAACAGACAGCCAGACAAAAATTCTAAAAAGTATAGATTCGGACTCTGTATCGATAATAATGTCTATTTCAATTAGATTTTCCAAAAAATATTTAATGTACAGATTCGACTTAGTTACAATTTTATTATGTGTATAGATTAGGTATATTTGTAATTTCGAAATAAAGTATGTATGTATATAGGTAATATAAAATATTGTTTTTTATTATGAAATAGCCAGACTATTTCATAATAAAAAAACAGCCACTAAACTACTCCTAATGTATCTGAACTTTATACAGCTAACTTAAATGATGAGGCTCTGGGTTCCAAACGAAACCAAATTAGACCGTATTTTACCAACAAATAGAATCAATCTCGTGATTATAATATCCTTACCTGTAAAATATTTTACAAAAACTTTAAATAGGATACTCAGCTTAAATTAGACTCCATTAGGATATGTCACCGTAGGCTGTATCGGTCAGAGAATTTCACTTTAAAGGTTGGGCTTTTTTCTTGAAATCGACATGAATTTTTATTGGTGATATAAGATAATACATCCAAAAATCAACCAAATTAAATACTCCTCAATTTTTGAAATCGGTCAGACAGACAGATTAAGAAAACTGGCCGCCGCTTTGTGTCGAGTTGAAACTTACCGAATTTTGACTTAATTTTAAAATCAAAATCATTTTTGCCCAAAACTTTTATCGTACCAAGTTTTATTAAATTTATTGCCATTTCAGATGAAAGTAAATCTGTTAAGACGATGATCGACTTATACCAGACATAAAAAAAGTTAATGGGCTTAAATTAGAATTTTGATGCCTATCTTGCACGGTGTTCCACCTTTCGGGTCGTGGGTTCAGTTCTGTACAGACGTTCCTATTATTTCTTTCTTTCATTTTTTTTTTCTTCTTTGACTACATAAATAAATCAAGGGCAAAATATTTGGTGTAAAAGTAATTTATATTTCTACCACATTACTGGTTACCACAATCATAATTTTACTTCTAAGATCCTTATTTCACGTCATTTACTGTTCTTAAACAAAATACAATTTTATCAAAAGTTTCGTTTGAAAGACTGAAAATGTTAGATATAATATTGTTAATATTTTAGGTACAAAATATGTCGGAGGCTACAAATAATTCTGAATGTACGTAGAATGCTTAAGATGGCGGACGTGGAATACTTATGAAGTCGTTATATTATTTATTTATCTCTTACCTCGCTCTGAGCGAATGTAATTTGTCATATAAACTTATTTGAAACTAGCTTTAGTCCTTGACATCGCACGAGTATGTATGAAATTTTATTTACTTTACGGCCATTTAAACTTCTTTATTAACTTGATCTAATTACAAGAGCCTAAATGATATTTTGGATTTCATTAGTTAACCGTAAACTCTTTCTATGGAAATATTCAAATGGATACATTAATGCGTGAAAAAGGACAATTTTAGATTGAGATTTATAGATTGAGATTAATTCTAATTCTAGATTGAGATTAAATTTCTAGATTGAGACTTAGATGAATGTTAGACGTTGTCTCTCGCTTCACTAAGATCCGAACTCGACAGTAACGCTGCGGTCTTCGGTAGATTACTACCAAAAGTGTGGGGTTCGTAGTCTTTGTTCCGGCTACTTTACATCAGCATAGTCCATAAACCCATGGTGCTTATCGATGTTCCTTTGCTGGTCGCTTACATTGCAATAGCAATATTTTATGTAAAATTTTATATATATTTTAAAATTTTATATATATTTATGTAAAAGTGGATACTACACGATACTGTGAAGGAAAGTTGCCGCACTTCTCGCAAGTAATCCATTCTGGAAACCCAAAATGGAAGTGCTTGCACAGACTAGTGTATATGAGAAGGTGTATGATGATCGTATGGTGCACAAGAAATGATCACCTTCTCCTGTCATAAGTATGGTAGATAAGGGGTGTATTCTTGTGCTCAAGTGACGTGCATCCAGCAACAAGAAAGCAACTGCAATTCGTGACTCTTATACCTTAGTCTCTCCCGTGACCATGATTACTGATGCTGTGACCAAAACTCAAAATAAATCCTCGAAAAAATCTGACAAAATAGTTATAAATAAAACTATCTTTTCGGATTATTTCGCGGATTTATTTTGATTTTTGGTTCCCGATGTTTCGAATGCTTTACAGCGCACATGGTCACGGGCGAGACTGAGGTGTTAGATGTCTCTAAGGTATAATAATAATAGTTGTTACAGACAGCCTACCCACAAATAACAAAATGAAAAATTGCACCAAATACCTTACAATATTTTATAACTTTAAACATTTTTATCATTTAAATTAGTTTTATAATTGAATATGGAATATTATATATTTAATTTTTGCTGTTATTATTATTATTATTACAATTTTAAAAATATTAATCAGTAATCTATATTTAGTGTTGCCATTTTTATATTTATAACCATAAAGAAAAATATAAAATATAATATTAATTATTTAAGCCACATAATTATTCTATGTGTAATTTAAAAAGTTAAAATTAATTAAGAATAATAATTTTAATTTAGTTTGCTATTATTTATAAAAGACAATTTACTAAGCAACACTATTACTACGAGTATATACTTTTACAACGTCGCGAAACAAAAATCAAAATAAATCCGCGAAATAATCCGAAAAGATATATTTATTTAAAATGTCAAATATTCGCGTAAACCTAAGAAAGTATTAAAATATTGTTATTTAAAATATGATGCTCCTACTACGATGATGGGAGTGCTGTTGACTTTTAGTGAGTATTATCATTGTACTGCATAAAGCAGTTGTTAGACGTAAGTACATTGCGTGAAAAAGTTTTGATTATATAAAGGTGCTGTTACCAAGTAGTACAAAATATAAAATTCATGAAGCAATAAAATGTACACAGTTATTAATAAAAGTTACCTAAATATAAAGTTATATAAAAATTGTTTTTGAGCAAAAGAAATGAAGGCTGAAAGAGCTTTTCACGTTGAAATGTCACGTTTCTTAATGGTTTTTTTACAAGTCACTGTTTTTATATTTTACTTTTTATGTCATCTTAACCCTCGAAGTTTGTAAAAATAGCTAAAACATATACACTTTGAGTAAACATAATAAATTGGTTTTGGAGATTAATTACAGTAGAAATTTTCCTTGAAATTTTAAAGCTGCCCTTTTTATAAGCCATTTATTAAAATTTTATAAATAATAGTGAACTTTGAGTAAACATTTTAAAGGAAAGTTGTATTTTTGTGAGTATTTAGAAATTCAATTAATTTTTTGTACGAATCCAAACAAGTAAATAACAAAATGAGTACCTACAAGTATGGATCGCACGCCGAGGCCTTGTTTTAACATTTAATATAGAGTTATTATAGAGCTTCCAAATACAACGATAATTAATTTTGAAGAACATAAAATTAACTTTGTTTCTTATAGTGCTACTATGAAATAACAAACGTATTCATTCCGTCAATAAAATAAATATCGTAGATGGGTAAAAAATTATTTCACTTTCACCGTAACAAATTAACATATTATACAAAAAAAATATGTTTCATACTACGAAACCCTTAGTGTGTGGATAAAGCTCTTTTCTTTTTTTTTATTTTCTGTTATAGTAAACACTACTTAAAACCTCACGAGTTCTGCTTAATTCACTGCGATAATTAAGAGCTATAAATAAATATAAATTATGAATATTCATCACTTTCAAATGGAAAAGCAAATATTTTATTATGTATTTTAATAACAATATCACTAAGAGGTACCATAGTGCACTGGGTGATATTATAGTGCAGCGCGTGATTCGGTCCTTGTACGCGCGGACACAAGTGCACTCTCTATTCCTGTCATTCTCAACGTCCAACAGGAAGATATTTCGACACGACAACGACCAGATATGGTTCGATTTAAGGCGCAGGACCAAAGGCTTCATGTGCTCTCCGAGGCACGGGGGTGCAACACCACCAACTTCCCAACTCCGGGCTAATACTGAGAATGTTTTAACAGAATACTCTGTAATTAAACTTGGCCCGACCTAGAACTCGAACCTAGAACCTACGGATCTGCAGCTGTATATGCTAGCCACTAGGCCACAAAGGCAATTTTCAGAAGTTTAATAAAACTATTCCAAAATTCGACCACTCTAATTATGATTCTCCAATACTTTTTAAAGTGTACCATACTATTGTAACTGCTAATATTTTTAAAGTATAGATAAATATAGGTTATTTTGTTACAGACACTCTGCCGTGGATGTCATCGGCGAGGCGAAAAGGGACCATGACGCTAAGAGATGGCAGAAAGCAGATGGAGAAAGGTACTATTATAACAATAACTCTGAAAAACTGCAAAAATTGCAAAGTAGCAGAAAATAGCAAAGTATATTTTCCCTCTGGGTCCATATGTATTTTTATTTAGGCCAAATCCAAAATCCAAAAGTCTTCAGCCAGGTCTGATTTTAGTATCAACGTTAGCTAGTTTCAAATTCTTTACAGCAAGCATGGTCATGGGACTGACTAAAAATTGTATGTAAACGTATCAAAAGTTATTATATAGCTGTTACAGACGCATTCAAGGCATTGAAGTTAAAAATAAAAAAAAAACAAACGACAAAATCCCAAAAGATATGGATGGAGTTTCATTTAAAATGTCAAATATTTGCGTAAATCTAAAAAAGTATTATGGCTTAAGACAGTCACCGTAGTAGTCATAATACAGCTATGAAAATGCAAAATATTTTGAAGTAATGTATGCTTTATCATTTACTCCTCACTTTTTCCGCCAACTCATCTTTTTCCTCGCCTTAGCGTTATAGCAACATAACCATTCCCTGTTAGTCTGCTTGCAACTTTTAAATCCTACGGTTATGTTAAATAATATTATTTTAAAAAAATGCTTAAATCCAAAGACCACTTATTATATATATATATATATATATATATATATATATATAGATATAGATATATATATAGATATATGTATATATATATATATGTTTATGTTTTGGCATTTATTTCCAAATAAATATGTTGGGACAAATATGTTGAATAAATAAATAAATAAATAAATGACATAACTCTTATTATAAAACACTGAATGTCATTGGGATTAATATTTTATTTATTTACTAACGATCCTGACTTTTCTCGTGTATAAAGTGACACATACATACATACTCGTAGAACTAAAAAAATTTTTTATATTTAAATAAATTAATTTAATTTTATTATCATGAAGCCTACTCTAATAATTTAATTACTCAATTATCATTTAAATAGAAGTAGTACCCACATTTGGGAGATATGAAACTTAAGTCTTATCTTTATTCGTGGTCTTTGGACTACCCTAAAGGGTAAAGGGCAATGGTCTCATTATGCTATGATCTACGCAACCTGATTTAACTGCCTCGGTGGTGTAGTAACTAGCATGTACGAGTGCACATCCGGAAGTCCTGGGTTCAAGTCGTGGGTCGGGCTAAGTTTAGTTATTGAGTCTTTCTGTTTAGTAAGCCTCAGTAACAGCCTGGAGTTGGGAAGTTGGCGGTGTTTTACAAACTTTTACATTTATAATATTAGTATAGATGTATAAGCAGTACCACCTCTTATCAAATGTTATTACTAACAGTAGTCTACGTATCCACGTCAAAGTGTATCTAATTTTCATCCAAATTCAATTCATTTCGAGAGTTTGAAAATTCAAATATTTTTATTTAGCACCAGCACCACTTACCCTGGATATGTTCAGGTACTATGTGTTATTCCTATATACTAAGTTTCATCTAAATCCGTCCAGCCGTTTCAGATAACACATCAAATAACATACACACTATTTTAGAAAGAAAAAGCCTAAGTCTTACGAAAATTTCGCATAAGAAACTCAAAGAACATTTTTTTAAGCAAAATTATATATTACAATTCTCTAACATTGTACCTGGTCTGGATACGAAAATATCAATCCAATGTTTATTTTAAATGAATAATTTATTAAATGTTGGGACATTAACACACAGCACCATCTAGTTCCATGGTAAGATACGAGGCTTGTGTTATGGATAGTTGATACACTGCACTTAAATAACTTTAGATACATACATATCATAAATATAAACACCCATGACTGAAGTACAAACATCCGTGCTTATCACACAAATGAATGCCCCCACTGGGACTCGAACGCACTCAAACTGCTGGCACCGCAACTAGGGTCACTACAAATTGAGCCAAATGTTTCATCATGTTTTCTTCTATACAATCAATTATTTAATACATATAACACACCTTTAGCACACAAACGTTCTTAATTCATATTTTAAAATTTATTAATAAAAGCTTTTTGAACATTCGATAGGTAATTCATGATTCCAAAATAAGTATTGACTTAATAAATATTGTCCGAAAAGAAATCAAATCCACTACTTTGGATGTACAAAACAGTATCAATTGTACACCACTGTGCTGCGTTGAACTGTCTGAATTATAATGAGGTAGACTTATCAGTTTAACTGTCAGGTAAAACGTGGAAATACTGATCCGATTTTGATAATATTTTATGACAAAAGTTCCAGTCCTTAGTATAAGAATTGGTTTCTGAAGGATAACAGTATATAGCAGGAAGCTCTGAACCTTCCAGAGAAGGTCGGGTGACGGGTAGGGTGTTACGACATCGGAGAATGGGTGGCTTATCGTAACTAGAGGTTTACGATAATTACATACATAATATATACATATGTTATCGTCGCCCATATCTATACATCTATATATATACAGATAAATAAAATTGAAGTGTCTGTTTGTAATGTCAAAATAACAGCTTTTTACTACATACATACAAAAGTATATTGTACATGGTACTTATAAGAAAAAATCATTTTTGAAATTTTTGCCTGTCAGTCTGTCTGTTCCGGCTAAACTTTGAAACGGCTAGACCGATTTTGGCGAAACTTTCACTGGCAGATAGCTAATGTTACAAAGACTAATTTAGGCTTTTATTATAAAATAAGAATTTGGGTTACGCGCAAAAAATTCAAACCCATGAAATCGTGAAAAAAATTCGCGTACCCAGAGACGTAGGCGAAGTGAGCTTAAGTCGCTAGTTCTAAATATATTACAACATGATGTATAGTTATAAGTTTAAAATTACGTGCAAGAGCTTTTTAGTAAACTTATTTGCATTTTAAAATAAAACTATCTTTTCGGAATCTTTCGCTGATTTATTTAAATTTTTGCACACGTTTTGAAAATTTATTATAAGATATATTTATATACTTATTATATGGTATTCTAAACTCATTGTTAAAACCGCGATCATCCCGTAAAAAAAAACAAAATATGATATAAAAGCTGGTTAGACATCGCCATTTCGGACGCTTTTGCTAATGTCACAAGCTATGTTATTGCTTAAGTCAAAAATGCTAGATGTTCTTATTAAGTAAAAGATTACATCAATAGCTCAAATATTAATTATACAAATATTATGTTAATTATACTTTATACAACCTTGAAGTCCCTTTCTTCTAAACAACGATGTATAAGTCTGTGTATTTCTTATACCTTCACGCTAAAATGACTGAACAGATTTCGATGAAATTTTGTGCACAGATACACTATGTTCTGGATCAACTAGACTACTAGATAGGCTACTGTAAGACATTTGAACGAAACGGATGAAACTCACTAAAACACACAGCACACAGTGTTAATGCTCCTTACTTTTAAAAACGTATACATTGACGATCTATATACTTAGCTTAGTAAAGTGGTTTTCTATACTATAATAAAACTGTAGAGGTAGAATGTCTGTACATAGAAAAAAATTCTAAAAACCGAGTCAGGGGCATGTAAGAAGACAAATAGAACAAATCTAGATTTTTTTCAAATTTTGTTTCTCTGTCTGTTTGTACTATCTATTGGGCCGATTTAAATGAAATTTTCCATGGTGATACCTTATATCCCTGGGCAATATCTTAGATACTTTTCACTCCGGAAAATTAAAGAGTTCCCGTGGGATAGTTAAAAAACTATAGTAACTTATACAGCTTAGTACACAACAACTTATGCACTTTAGTAAAATTTGGCATGCTGATACCTTATGTTGCCAGTCAAATAACAAGTTACTTTTAATCCCGGAAAAATGAACGGTTCCCGTGGGATAGATCTGTTTGTGCTTTTCTAGAGGCGAACCCGAGCGAAGTGAGAGTGAGCCGCTAGTTTGTAATCTATATATATAAAAGAAAGTCGTGTTAGTTACTTCGCTTATAACTCAAGAACGGCTGAACCGATTTAGCTGAAAATTGGCAGGGAGGTAGTTTAGAGCCAGGAGAAGGACATAGGATACTTTTTATCCCGTTCGACCGCGTTCCAATTTTTATGATATTTTAATTTTTGGATTTCTCTTAGTCCGGAATAGGTAAGTATTAAAACATATAATTAAAATGTGAGAAAGAAAGATTTTTTCTTTTTATATCTATTTAAAACGTACCTAGCGACGAACCCGAGCGAAGCGAGGGTGAGCCGCTAGTATGAACTATAAATAAATTATATATAAACGTTGCACTTCCACCCTCCCGCCTGATTTATTTAAGCTATATCAAGCGATATATGCGCGGCGACCTAGATTGTGCTACAGCGAAGGTTCGAATCACGTCCATTTGAAAAATAGATATAATAAGATATCCATCTTACATGTGCCGTGTTATTTTAGCAAACAAAATGAATAAGTTTGGAATGCGTATTATTTTCTTGGGTTACAATTTTTTTTAATATGGTTTTAAAGAGTGCATGTTGATCGCATTTTACTTTCCCACAATACAGAATGTAAAAACAGATGTGCAGGATATTCAACAACAATAGAGTTCTTTTTAGTAAAATTCAGACTTGCTTGAAAACCAGCGAAACATGTTAAAAATGCAAAATATAAGCCAACTAAATTGATTTGCTCCGGTTTCCAAGTTGTATTGCGAAACATTGTAGTTTTGTTAGAGCGTGACACTCTGATATTTTGGTGAGATAAAGTATATATTAGTTGTAATAGCTAATAGCCATCAAAATCTTCCAATATAAGAATTTTATGAAAATCGTTCGAGTAATTTTTCACAAAAAGAAAAAAATATCTACTTCAGTGTACTCGCAGTTCAGACACACTTATTATAATTCCAAGACGTAGATATTATGTAACTTATTATTAACAATTAAAATTGACTAAATATATAATTTCTCCTCCCAGGTTATCAGCCTATCCCCATGGACAGACAGACAGATCATCATTACTCCGATCTCATGCTGCGAAGTCAGCAGAGTGCAGTGGTCAAGGCTCGCCTAAAGCTAGAAGAACCCCTCGAGAATCTCGACGAGTGTCTCTCGCGCAGGCATCAGGATACGTTCAGCTCAATCAGTACAGATTGTTGGAGCCTATTGGTCAGGTGAGGTTTTTAAATAGAACTAGCAAAGATATGCAGATTATGAGATTTTGGATTCGAATCCTGCATCAAGCTAAAGTGGCTTTTAAGAACCTTGAAAAACTTGTCTCTTTGGTTGTATAATATTGACGTCGCATTAGACTACAGGCATTAAAAGAATATACAAAGAACTTGTGCTTGCTCACAAAGCTTTCGCTGTATTAGTTGTATTAGTTACCCTGACTGTACAGTGTGTATGATAGTTTTAGTGCACAAGTATGCGGGCAAATACAAGTACACTCTCTATTCCTTTTACTCTCATACTCCGGTGGGACGACCACTCGACACGATCGGTGAGACATCAGAGGTAAGAGAGGAGCATTGCCAATCATAACGAAAATGCCAGTTTTTGGTGTCGATTTGGATGTCTTAAATACAATTTCTTCTAAATCTATCGAGTAACATATCAAATGAAGGATTTTAAGAAGCCATTGCTAAAATATAATAAATATACAATATAAAAATTCTAAAGTAATTTGAGATACAAAACTTAAATTGTTAAGTAAAATTGAAAGCTGTAACTATAAGGATAAAATACAAAAATAATATACCGACTATTAAAATAAGTGTACTCAAAAGACTGAAACAAGATGACGTAGGAACATATTTCGCTATTTATAAAGTCAGTATCTTTTATTTGAGTAATTATTTTTTTTATTAGCTGTAACAAGTATAAAATATTCATTTTAATTTCGCCAAGGCAGTATTTGCTCGGTGGATAATCTTTGAAGCCATTTGAGAACGTTTGCTTTGAGCCAAGATCCTAGATCCGAACAACTTCGACGATCGAGTCTATTGAATTGATTTTAAATTTTTAATGAATCGTTCTAGATGTGAAGCCGTACAAGTTGACTCGCTTTTGTCACTGCGGTTAGTGTTTTAGATTATTTAACTACCAGACGACCTGGCAGAATCCATTTTGCCCTTTGAGCAAAGTTTGTGAACTTCGACTTCATACATAATACATAATCCTATAAATAAGCATTATCATTTTCCTCCAAATTCCTTAATTTTTACAGGAAGTTTCCCAATTTTTCTACCAATAATCTTTTTTTCCAACAATCCATCCAGCCGTTTTCAGGGTGCGCGTATCATCGAACCGCGTTTTATTTTTATTCATCTAGACATTGAGGCCTATTTGTCAAAATCCACCTCATGGTACAAATTGAATGAACGATATTAGTATTTTCTTAGTAATTTTGGTGTCGTGACGTCACAAAACTGCTAAGAAAGTAAGAATGTTTCAAGCTTATAATAACCTTGCTTTTAAGACGTCATGGTACGAAAACTCAAAGTAAGATTATAGTATTCATGCTATTAGAGTTCATGGTAAGGCCCCTGATTACTGATTAGGTTTGATCATACTTTATGGATAGCTTTAAGAATTTATGAGGTATAAAGGATAAATTATTGAGACTCTATACATCATTATTCTTTAATAAATAGTCATAAAATATAGTCGCTTCCCACGTCTGTCTGTTTGTTTGCTAAATTTTTTTAAACTATGCAATCGATTTTGATACAGTTTTCACTATCATGTAGAGATTTTTTCGAAAAGTCTATATTATGTGTAATACAAGCATGGATATTATACTGATAGAATAAAAAGTTCTAAGTATTCTAAAATATGCTTTGTAATAAAGTCAAGGTAGTGTAATTATAAAGAAAATTGAAGTGCTTATCTGATTTTATATTATTTTTGAAATAAAACCCGACTACACACTCCGTGCGCAACTGAACATTATGCTGATGTATAAAAACCGACTTCAAAGAAAAGCACTAAAAAGTAAAAAATAACTAATTGGTAGTTTTTATTTACTATACATACCTAATCAAATATTTTCGAAGTCTTTTTACTTTTTACTGCTTTTGTTTGAAGTCGGTTTTTATTTTTTTGTTAAAAAGTTTTTATTTTTCCCTTTTTAGTGTAGACAGTAGTAGCAAAGTACGTTTTTTAATGTGTTGGGCTTGTCAAATCAAACAAAATAAGCCCAAACTCAAAGTATCTACTATTAGCCGTTGAAGAGTTCCATCTAACCACCTTCTGGCCTTACCATCAGATCAGGTCAACAATACCGAACCACTGTACTATCAACGGAAATAGAAACACTTGCAAAGTTTCAAGTCAATATGACAATTAGAAGTAGGTTAAATTCATCATTAGCTATTTTTCCACCCTTAGGGGTGGTATTTTTTTTTGAAATTTAAATGGGACCAATCTGGAAGTATACACTTTCAAACAACACAAAAATTGTCCAAATCGGTTAATAAATGACGGAGTTCTGAGGTAACAAACATAAAAAAAAATACAGTCGAATTGAGAACCTCCTCCTTTTTGAAGTCGGTTGAAAATTTTTAGATAACATAATATTTTATTATAGAACAAAAAGTATCAGTGCAATATCATACTAATAATATAAATGAGAAAGTTTCAGAGTGAGTATGCATTTGTTACAAATTTACACCGTAACATCAACGAATTTTAGCTGAATTTGATGACTTATATAAAAAAAGTGTCGACGGACGTTGAACTAAAAAAAATCTACTGCCAATACATACTTGTATATAAAATGTCTAAAAGTAGAACATAAATTGCTTATTTGAACATTGTCTCTGCCTGCTTAGAAAGTCTTGCAAAGCATATATTTAAGTACCGATATAAAAAATATTTATCTTCGTCATGGAGACGTTGGACCTTGGGGATCTCAGGCACTTCATTTCAATAGAGAATTGAAAATATAATTTAAGAGGATGGTTTTTCAAAAAAGTGCACTCCCTCCCTCACTCTGTAGGGAACTCCCCTACATGTTACAAGCAGATACTTCCGCAATTCCTTGATAGCGGTATCATTTTATGTCCTATTTCTTCACCAACTTCAAAGAGGAATAAGTATTCAAATCGTGTGCAATATTAGTTCGTATATTATACTGATGTAAATTACCTATGTTCAAGATATTTTCAACCGACTTCTTCAAAAAGGAGGAGGTTCTCAATTCAGCTGTATCTATTTTTTATGTTTGTTACCTCAGAACTCCGTTATTTATTAACCAGCCGATACAAAATAAAGCACACCGACTTCGAAAATATTTGATTAGGTATGTACGAGTATAGTAAATGGAACCTACCAATCAGTTATTTTTTACTTTTTAGTGCTTTTTTTTGAAATTGGTTTTTATTTTTTTTGTTAAAAAGTTTTTATTTATAAATATATTGTACCTCAAGGGACGGGGCCCACCCTAATTCCACCTTTAATGGTGAAATGATTATTGACGTGAAACTTTATTAGGATCGTTGTGATTTAATACTCGATGAAACGGAAATTCGACACTAAAAAGAGACAAACACATAAATATACAGCACATATATATAATCACAGCATACATAATCCGGCGAGAGAATGAGATAGAATTACATTACACAGGAAGTGAAAATAAAACTGAATAACATGTAACATATTATGTTAAATAAAATGTAAAATAGCTTTTAAACTTGATAAATAAAAACTTAACTTGTTACTCATAAAAATGAATATTTATTACTGTGGGATGAATGTGCATAAATTAAATAAAAGCTATTATGACTAATTTTTACCATGGTTTGTTGTTTAAAAGTTTCACTGAACACGTTTTAATAAAAAAAATATATAATATTGAAATTGGTGCTTTTTACTCAAAAAGTACCTAATTATTAAATTTCTGTTTATATATTTTTTACTTGCATTGCCCGCGGCTCTGCCCGCGTTCAGATAACCAAAAACCAAATTTCTAGGTTTTACATATTAGTATACTCGTACATTGCAGTTTTTGTATTTTTTCTCAGAAATGAGATATTTTCCCGCGGTAATAAGTATCTTATATGTTGACCCGAATAAACAGCTATCATCGTACCAAATTTCATCAAAATCTGTCCAGTGGTTTTCTCGTGATGCGGTAACAGACAGACAGACAGACAGACAAAAATTCTAAAAGCTATAGAATCGGACTCTGTATCGATAATAATGTCTATTTCAATAAGATTTTCCAAAAAATATTTAATATACAGATTCGACTTAGTTACCATTTTACTATATGTATAGATCACTTAAATATTGGATAGCTAATTTCGCTTTTCTTTTGACCGCAGGGATCGTATGGAATCGTCAAGTTAGCCTACAGCGAAGAAGATGACACGCATTACGTAAGTTATATTTTTTACTCTTTATCTTTTAGATTTTACTAAAAAGTAGTTTTATGTCAAAATATTAAAATAAACGGTTTTTCACAATAATATAATTTTTAATATATCCAAAGAATAAAATGTTTATTTTTAAATTCTTGGAAACGGACCTATTCAGAGAAATCCAAATAGATTGCCACGATTATAATTCCGAAAATATATTTATGTGAAATAAAAAAAAGCTGACGAAATAGAAACAGGTTTCAATCATTCATTTAATTTATTAACTTCAACTAAAACTCAATTGTACTTTTAGGTTAAATCAAAATATTATATTATATAGTTATAAATTTTTTAGCATAATTCATACGATATCTTATTACGTTTAAGAGCTAGTAATATATTATATTAAATAATCAACTATCCAATTCGACTAGCACTTGCTAATATAGTGAAGAAACTTGCGTGTTTGAGAGACCTAACTTGTGCTTGAAACGAGAAGTCCGCCAACCCGCACTTGGCGTGGTGGACTATGGCCTGATCCCCCTCAAATTGAAGGGAGGCTCACCCCCAACCGTGGGTCGTTAAAAAGTAATATTACTTTGCAATACAAAACTAAATACATATTATCTTTCTCACAATTTTTATGATAATAAATTTAATAATACACGTAATAAAGACAATAGATTAATGACATAATATCTAATAGCTATACATATAATAAAATTGTAACCAAGCCGAATCTGTAAATTAAATATTTTTTTATACTCTTATTGAAATAGACATTTTTATCGATACAGAGGCCGAATCTATAGTTTTTAGAATTTTTGTCTATCTATCTGTCTGTTACCGCATAACGGAAAAACCACTGAAGGGATCTTGATGAAATTTGGTACGATGAGAGCTAATTATCCGGGTCAACGTAGAGAATACTTTTTACCGCGGCAAAATATCTCATTTCTGAGAAAAAATACAAAAACTGCAATGTAAGAGTATACTAACATATGTAAAACCTAGGAATGTGGTTTTTGGTCATCTGAACGCGGGCGGAGCCGCAGGCAATGCTAGTACTTAATAGTAAAAACTTACTCTTCAGCCCTCCATTAAAAATTGAAGAGACATTAATGTTATAAATGTGAAAGTTCATATGTCAACAAATATTCGTAAAAGCTTAACGGATTCGAATAAAACATACATGGTGTGTTTTTATCGACGAACTAATCGCACGAGCGATGCAATATTGACAAATATATAGTGTTTAATTATATGTAAATGCGCTACAGTAGTGTAGTGATCGCAATCTTCGTTGTGTTCGTTAGTAATTAATTGATGATGAGATTTGTTACTTGATATCTTTGTAATATATACGAGTATGAACCTATTTCATCTAGCTTCTTACATAACCTGTGGTTTTGATTATTTTTTTCTATTTATATTTACTAATATATATCTAAAGCTCAAGAGAGTGTTTGTTTGTTGTTATTTCAGTTTTTTTGCATTTTATAGTCTTTATATTGAGAAAGCCATGGCGAGACCGAGGGTTGTGACAATTTTTAAACTTCTCACATATCTCAGTAAAGAAACATCTATACTTATTTTAATATTATAAATGTTAAAGTGCTAATATAATGTTAAAGTTTGTTTGTTTGTCCGGACGTCAAAACAGAGTGACGGATTGGCGTGTATTTTTGTGTGGAGATAGTTGGAGGGCTGGAAAGTGGCATAGGCAACTTTTTACCACGGGAGATTATTTCATTGCCACGGGAAAACGTGCTATAACACAACCCACAACGACAACTCATCATACCTATATTCTATATATATATATATATATATATATATATACGGTCTATCTATATCATACTAACCGTTAAAACGTACCTTGGGGACGATTTCGAGCGACGCGAAACTACGCGGGCAGAACCGCGAGCATATTTTATATAAATTTAGAAATAACAAAATGAAATTTTAGAAATAAAAAAATAAAGTCTGTAACTAGAACCATACATATAATAAAATTGTAACTAAGCCGAATCTGTACATTAAATAATTGTTGGAAAATCTTATTGAAATAGACATTATTATCGATACAGAGGCCGAATCTATAGTTTTTAGAATTTTTGTCTGTCTATCTAGATTTTGATGAAATTTGGTATGATGATAGCTGGTTATCCGGGTCAACATACAGGATACATTTTACTGCGGGAAAATATCTCATCTCTGAGAAATCTATACTGAAAGTTAAAACTTGGATAAGCAGGGACGAACCCGAGCGGAGCGAGGGTGAGTCACTAGTATGTTATAAGCTCAGGATATTATAAATAATATTAATGGATGTATGTAAACTGTCTAAATTGAAACGAAAATGTTATGTATGTCCGTAAAAATATACACGAATTTCCCAAGAAGTGTGACATGCATAACATTAATACTAGGAGCAAACACAAACTTGTAATGCCTGTGACTCGTCTACACAGAGTCAGTAATTATTTTTATGGACAATGTATACGCTTGTACAACAGGATCCCAGAAAATTTTCAAAAGGCTTCTATCGCCAAATTCAAAAAATTGTTCAAGAACGTTTGTGTGCTAAAGGCATTATACAATAAATGATTTTATAGAAGATGGCACACCTTGGGAATGAAATGATCGCATCCAGGCTACTTCAACTTGACAGAAATGTTGTAAATTATAATTTTACTTTAAAAAAGATAACAAGTCAATATTAGTCCCGCTGAGTTTCTTTCGCCAGTTCTTCTCAGGTCTGAGGCTTCTTCTTTCCGAACTGGTAGTAGACTCATGACGTTCAGTAAAAAATTGTAATAATTTAATGCTGAATAAAATATTTTGAATTTTGAAATAAACTCGGATTTTTTTAATTTAATTTATTAGGTGGCCTTTTCGAGTATATCGCATGGTATATATATCATATTCTCATCATTCCATATAGCACTGTCTTCTTAGACAATAGAAAAAAAACAATTCTAGTTATTAACTGACTTCCAAAAAAGAAGAAAGTTCGCTATTCATCTGTATGTATTTTTTATGAAAATTCAAAAATTGGCAGATTGCTTAGAAATACATTGTTAATAATTTAATTTGGTTTATAGGATACTCTAGAAAACCAAAAATATATCTATCCCACGGGAATGTTACATTTTTCCAGGATAAAAGACAGACAGATTATAATCGGTCCTCTGTGCAAAATTTCATTTCAGCCATTCTGGTGTGATTGAGTAATAAACATCCACCCAAACATATAAACTTTACTAATTTTAACCGTTTCCTTACGTAAAGCATCGCGTTAGCGCTTATTTGTTCAAACCACCAACACTAGTTGTATTTTACAGTAGAGAGTTCCTCTATATTAAAAAACAAAACTTTCAAAGATTTATATACATTTATTTTTTCGGTTTGTTTTTAAGGGAGAGACTCTCCCGTGACCATGATTGCTGTAAAGCATTCGAAACGTCGAAATTATGGCAAAACTATATTTAATAGGTAGTCAGGTAATTCAAGTGGTTATTGTTGTATTTAAATAGCAAAAAGTTACTTAGGGACGTGCCTGAACAATATCAGGGCCAGTCAATAGCTAAAACATCTGTGAGTTTTAAAGTTAACGTGATTTTAAGAATATTGCTCTTTGCAGGCAATGAAGATTCTATCAAAACGGAAGTTAATGCGGCGAGCTGGACTCTTTGGGAGAACTCCTCCTAGAAGACCAGGTCCTGGGCCGCCGCCAGATCCGCTGCAAAGGGTTTATAGAGAAATAGCTGTCTTAAAGAAGCTGGATCATCCAAACGTCGTCAAACTTGTGGAGGTGAGAATCTAATCAATGTACGAGTACTTTAATGTGTTTATCTAAGTTCTAAGACTCATTCTTTACGTATTCAAATTACTGAAATTTAGAACTTACTCGTATATAGAAAAAACATATTTAGACCACGTGATATATATAGGTCCTATGTTCGAGTCGCAAACAAAATCGAGACAAAATAGTGAGTTGGAAAGTTGGCGGTGGTACATCCCCAAGGCTTCTAGAGAACATGCAGCTGTCGGTCCTGTGCATGATTTCTCAATGGTCGTGATGAATTTTCATGCTATAGGAATATGAGACTTAAAAAATATAAAAATGTCTGCACACATACTTATGCATTGTAATACGTCCCGCGCAGATGGCTAGTCTAAGAGCCATATATTATTTACGTAAGGATCCTGAGGGGGAAGAGGGGTTCTCAAAATCTCTACATTTCTCTCTATATCTCGGGACTAAGGAGGGTAAAAGCCATTGTTACGTAATATTTTATAAGTAGAAATGTGCGATTACTAACATAGAGTGATGGATATTTGAGAGCTAAGCGCTGGGTAAAACAACTTTGAAATCTATTTTTTTCTCTTTTTAGGACAATTTCAAAAATAAAAATCTTTGATTTACGTCAAATTATAAATTTCATTGCAGTTGATTATTTTTTAAAACTAGATAAAATCTTACGTAAGAAGGGGGAATGGAGTCCGAGAAATTTTATGTGCTCTTACATGGGGATGTGGGGGTCAAAATATCAATTGTTTTTACCTAATTAATGAATGGCCCTTTAGTGAGATGAACTATAACCAAATTTTTATGAGAACATTATTAAAATAGATGTGAAAGTAATATTTTGAAATTATCAATAGTTTTATAGTTCAACTAGCATTGCCCGCGGCTCCGCCCGCGTTCAAATGTCCAAAAACCAAATTCTTAGGTTTTACATAATATTAGTATACTCTTACATTGCAGTTTTTGTATTCTTCTCAGAAACAAGACATTTTCCCGCGGTAAAAAGTATCTTATATGTTGACCCGTACAACCAGCTATCACCATACCAAATTTCATCAAAATCCCTCCAATGGTTTTTCTGTGATGCGGTAACAGACAGAGAGACAGACAAAAATTCTAAAAACTATAGATTCGGCCTCTGTATCGACAATAATGTCTATTTCAATAAGATTTTCCAAAAAATATTTAATGTAAAGATTCGGTTTAGTTAGAATTTTATTATATGTATAGATGAATTTAGTAAATCCCTATTAGACTAACGTTAGAATATCGCGTTATAACGCGATCGATGTTGCATAATGAGCGTAATCATTTTCGTGTTGTAATTCGCTTAACGAATAGCCGTTTCCGTTATTAATATTATGTTGTAGTTCATTTATCGGCAATTATTTACCGTTTCATTGACCGATTTCATAAAAGTGGATGTATTGATTTGGAATAAATAGGCTAAGACCATAAAATTAAATAAAAACTAAATCACTAAAAAAACCATAACTCATAAAAGGTACGAACAAAATTCGGTGGTACTACACTAATTAAAAAAAAATTAAAAAATAATGTTTGAAAAAAATATATCCGTAAAGATAAAGTCGAATATATCTTTTTAATGAAAGAATATTATTATACTAGCTAGCGCTTTCAGTTTTGCTCATTTTTAGTTATATTTTTACTTAGACTTAGGTAGACTTGTCTTCTGTTGTATAAAAAATTGTTTTCTTTTGTATTTTAATTCATAGAGTATATGGTGCTTATGTATGAAATTGCAGAGGGTAAATAGCATTCGCGGTTAAACTTAAACACACACATTCTTTTCTCGGTATTTTCCATGACATTTTTGGATGACTATGATTTAATTTTGCTAATACAGAGCTCGATTTGCTCAAGGAGAGTGTATATTTTTTGTTTATTGGCATGAGAGCTAGAAGAATGCAGACTTCAAATTATACGATAAGATTCTACTATCTTTAAATTTTTTAATGTAATGAAACCTTCATGTTCAGCTCCTACTCTTACTTGTACCTTTTTGTCTATACCTACTTACTTTTTATATTATAAATGTGAAGTGTGTTTGTTTGTTTGGCCTTCTTTCACGTCGAAACAGAGTGACAGATTGAGGATTTTTATGTGGAGATATTTGGAAGGCCCGAAAGTGGCATAGACTACTTTTTACTACGAGAGATTACCTCATTCCAACGGAAATCCCAACAACTCTTCATAACTATGTTCATATATATTATATAGTCTATCTATTTCATACTAACCGTTAAAACGTGTCTAGCGAGTAATCTGAGTGAAGTGAGTTGCTAGTTGTAATAAATCTATTAGGTAATATTCGTTTTATTCACTGAATGAATTTAATATAGCTTGTTACTTTTATGAAACACTGGGTTTTCATTTTTATAGACTTTAAAACTGTATTTATTGTCTTAATAGATATCAGTATATATCAAACTACCAATGCCCGCGGCTTCGCCCGCGTTCAGATGACCAAAAAGCAAATTCTTAGGTTTTACATATTAGTATACTCTTACAATGCAGTTTTTGTATTTTTCTCAGAAATGAGACATTTTTCCGCGGATAACCAGCTATCACTATACAAGAGCACTATCCGACCGGTCCTTTTATACGGAAGCGAGTGCTGGCCAGCGCTATCTCGGCACACTCAGGAGCTTCACGTCACGGAGATGAAGATGCTGAGGTGGATGTGTGGCATAACGCGGGCTGACCGCATACGCAACACATTCATCCGGGGCAGTCTCGGGGTCCGCGGCGTAGCGGATAAGCTCCAAGAGCGGCGTCTGGGGTGGTATGGCCATGTTGCGCGTCGGTCTGAGGGCTATGTCGGAAGAAAGTGCCTTGATATATCTGTCCCTGGAACAAAACCTTCCGGGCGCCCAAGAAAGCGATGGCTGGATATCGTGAAGCAGGACATGAGAGCTAATGGACTTACCCAGGATGATGCTAAAGACCGTGCAAAGTGGAGGAGGCTAAGCAGGAAGGCAGACCCAGGCAATAGACGGGATTAATAATGCCAGGCAGAAGAAGAAGAAGACTATACACAATTTCATCAAAATCTATCCAGTGGTTTTTCTGTGATGCGGTAACAGACAGACAGATGAAAATTCTACATACTATCGATTCGGCCTCTGTACCGATAATAATATTTATTTAAATTAGATTTTCTAAGAAATATTTAATGTACAGATTCGGATTAGTTACAATTTTATTATATGTATAGATTAAACTATGAGTACCATCTAACGCTCGACAAATGTTTCTATCTAGAACGTTAGCTATCTTTGTTTCGGGCCGCTGCAACGTAAGAAAATGCACTTATTGACTTACAATTTAAAATACTTTTTTTCCTTTTATCTCAAGGTGTTAGATGATCCAGCAGAGGATCAACTCTACCTCGTGTTCCAACTACTGGAAGGAGGGCCTGTGATAGATATACCCAGTGAAAACCCTCTCAGCGAGGACCTCGCAAGGAAGTACTTTAGAGATGCTGTGCTCGGCGTAGAATACTGTGAGTACCTCATGCATATAAATTAATGTAAAAAATTGATCATTTTATAACGGATTTTGCAATGAATCAGATTCAAAGCGGATGTGAGAATTTCGCACAATTAAGTGATATCTAATTTTATTTATCACTTCTGACTATTTTTACTAAAAACCTTTAATTAATATAATAATTATTAATAACAGAAAACCGACTTCAATTGAGAAATCGAGTTAACGACCTACAATTTAATTAAAATATTGCGATGACAGTCTGGTGTAATAATCTGAGAATTTACTTTTTCACCGGAGGTCGCGGATTCGAGTCTCATTTTAGACATTAGCCTAAGCTAAGCTATATAGCTAACATACATATTAATATATATTTTTAAATCATGTAAATTATCTTCTAAGACCAACTTAATTCTATAAGCTATGGAAAAATAAAAGTGCTGATATTCTCTTGACTTTATAAAGTGTGAAAAAATATTATTCTCTAGTACACTTTCAACGTATTGCCCATCGGGACATCAAACCTGCAAATCTCTTGCTTGGTGATGGGCGAGTGCAAGTGGCAGATTTGGGAGCATGCGGAGAGCTCGCAGGAGCTGGGCAGCTCTCGGGCGCAGTTGGCACGCCCGCCTTCAGAGCGCCGGAGTCCACTGATATTGGCGAGGTTTGTGTACAAAAATATAGAAAGGTTGATTACTCTCGAGCTTCGTTCTTGATATTAGCACATAAAAAAATGTAGTATTATACAATGACTTGCCGTTTCCCACTATATTTTAGAGATAACAACAAAATAATATTAAAATATAGGGTAGAATAATCTTGCTATATCGACACGTGTCCGGGCGTTGCCGTTTAGTCAGAGTAGCTGGATAGATGTTTCACGACAATGGGTGAAGACTGAACTGCGGAGGAAGGAGAAATTCTAATATAAATATAATTAAATAAACACGTTGGGACATTAACACACAGCACCATCTAGTTCCATGGTAAGCTACGAGGCCTGTGTTATGGATACCAGATAGTTGATACATTTCACATATACTTTAAATACGTATATATAAAAACTCCCATGGCTGGAGTACAAACATTCGTGCTTATCACACAAATGAATGCCCCCAGCGGGAATCGAACCCGCGAACGCTGACACTGCAATTAGGATCGCTAAAAAGTGAGCCAAGTTCATTTAGTCATCAAATATAAAAAATAAAAACTATTCTGATCATCAGAGTTCGCCGTAACAATCTAAAGTCTTTGATATCACTTGAACACTGCAACAGTTTACAATCTTTAAGTCTTCATGCATTTAGAAGATGGAAATTCTGATAATTCTTCACAGTGGAATCGAAGAAGCAAATAATCTTGTAAATGATATCTAGACCTATATACACATGTACTTATGCGCAAGTAGTGCATTCTTGAATCGTCTCTAGCAGTTTGATCTAATACAGTTATGTAAGCTGTGGGTTCTGCAAAGAAAAGTCAATGAGTGCATCTTATTATATGAAGTTCAAATTATGAAGCTATTAATTCCTTTCATAGCCAATAGAAAACAATTTCGTAATAAAACGCAAATGTCAGGACTACGTCTATATCTATCTATACATATAATAAAATTGTAACTAAGCCGAATCTGTACATTAAATATTTTTTGGAAAATCTTATTAAAAAAAAACATTATTATCGATACAGAGGCCGAAACTATCTATCGAATCTAGTTTATAGAATTTTTGTCTGTCTGTCTGTAACCGCATCTCGGAAAAACCACTGGAGGGATTTTGATGAAATTCAGTACGATAATAGCTGGTTATCCTGGTCAACATATAGGATACTTTTTACCGCGGGAAAATATATCATTTCTGAGAAAAAATACAAAAACTGCAATGTAAAACTATACTAATATGTAAAACCTAAGAATTTGGTTTTTGGTCATCTGAACGCGGGCGGAGCCGCGGGCAATGCTAGTTTGCTTCTAATTTCACACTTTAAATAAGATGAGATTCAGAAATAGCGTGTGTCAGAGGTCAAACGCAAATTGCTCTATTGTTACATTTTAACACAAATTAGGCCTATGCTTTGTTGGATTTCTATAAATATGTAAATGAATCCAAGTATAGTTATTTATTTATGTACCAAAAAAATGTATATTTATCAAAATTAAGGTACAGAATGTAGACAAAGGATAACTTATCTCTTTACGAGATTTCAGAAATCAAATCGAAGTTTGAATATTGGTTTAACTTAATCAAATAGCTTTCATGCTAGAAATTCGTTTTATAAATTTCAAAGGTACTGTTCATGATAAAATTACTTAATATTGTTATGTCGTAATGCTTTATACAATGTTTTTGCAATACACTATCCCATGGAAAATCTAATACTCTCGAAAAGAGTAAAAAAAACTTCGAGTATATTGTTATATTTATACACACTAAAATTATAAAGCTGAATTTGCTTTTTGTTTGTTTGAACGCGTTATTTTCCTCAACTACCAGTCTGGTTTGAATTTAATAGCTTATTTATTGAAGACTAGCGACTGACTCTCGCTTCGCCTTAGTTTCGTTCTTAAACAAATCTATCCGACGGGAACCGTACATTTTTCGGGGATGTGCTATTCCAGACTATAATCTATTTCTGTGCCGTTCAGCCGTTCTGGCGTGAAGGAGAAACAAACATCCATACATCCATCTTCACACACTTTAACATTTATAATATTAGTATGGATAAGTAATAAGTGTTAAGTATAGACAAACTGTATAACATCACCCAATTATACTTTTACATAAAAAAAATACGTGAGCCCAGCCAGGGGTAAAAAATAGTCAATATCCTACTACGTATTTACTAATATACTATAGTACTATTAGTATAAACGCGAAAGTAATATAGAATGTATGGATGTATGTTTGTTACTCTTTCACGCAAAAACTACTGAATGGATTTTGATGAAACTTTACAATAATACTACTACTCTTTATCCCGGAAAAATACGGTTCCCGTGGGATAGATTTGTTTTTGTTTTTCTAGAGGGGAACCTGAGCGAAGCTAGGGTGAACCGCTAGTGCGTACATAAGAAGTACGAGTACATCAGAAATCTATGTCACAATATCCTTAAGAAATACAAAAAAGAAACGTATATTATAACCTCCTCCATTATAATAAAAGCAAGCAAGCTCTCAGCCAACATTGCACCACAAGCGTCAAGCAAACACATTAGGACTTATCCTTACCATGTTACGGAAGTTGGAACGTGATAAAGCAAATGTGGTGAACGCAAATGGCAAAAATATAATACTATTTTATTAGCTTCGCGTTTTATCTCATATATTTTTTTCTATACACGTATGGCTTTATGACTTTATGAATTAATTTATTTTAGTCAACTTAAAACACTGTTAAAAGATTTAATCAAAAAGCATTTATTCACTGTTTTCAAGAGATTTTATTCTTTTTATATATAGGGGCTAGATTATGCGAGTATTAATCCAATTTAGATAATTATTTTACTATATATTCTAGTATATAAATCGTATCAACTGGTATATCAATTATTTTCTTTGAGATATTCTTACATTTCTATAGGCTACAGACACGCGAGTGTATCTGGCTCACATCGACTTTAAGTCTATACTTATTATAAAAATAAGTCCCCCGGCCGCGTCTTTCTGTCCTCCTGTCTGTCCTCCTGTCTGTCTGTACGCGATAAACTCGAAAACTACTGAACGGATTTTTATACGGTTTTCAACAATAGAAAGAGTAATTCTTGAGGAAGGTTTAGGTATATAATTTATTATGCTTTTATGTAAATTAGCTGAAATACGGCGACAAATGTTGAAGAGGTCGCAAAAAATCTCGCCAAATGGGAACTTTCCACGCGAACGCCGCGTAAACTAGCAAAGATACAGTTAAGTAATGTACTAGAGAATTCAAAATCTATAAAAATGCTACAAAAAAGTCCGCGATAGCATATCTCTATCTCTTACGGTTGACTTACAATAACCACTTTTATGTTAACATTTTTAATTAAAAACATTACGTTATTTTCAAAGTTATTTTCTTTAGTTCGGTATTAATCCTTATCCAAATGAATATTTTAGTTAGCTTAGTCATTTAATGCAGATTAAAATTGCTCTTTACACTAAATCAATCAGATGAATAGTTTTTGAGATATCGTTGTTAGAAGTAATTAGTAGCGAAACATTTTTAATGCTTGGCGAGCATTGAGATGCCTACGGCGAGTCCATCCCCTCTGCCCCGCATCGCTCGACCGCCTGCTCAAGCTATATAAACCGGGCGATGTAGCGCGCGATCCTAGGATACTTTTTACCGCGGGAAAATATCTTATTTCTGAGGAAAAATACAAAAACTGCAATGTAAGAGTATACTAATATGTAACACCTAAGAATTTAGTTTTTGGTCATCTGAACGCGGGCGGAGCCGCGGGCAATGCTAGTTATAAATAAAAAATACTCTGTAGTCTATACCGTATACACTACGACCTATATTAAAAAATACAATTTTCTTCTTACAAACATTTTTTTTAATGTATCCTACCAACTAAATACTCATTTACAGGCAGCTGATATATGGTCACTAGGAGTGACACTGTACGCGATGGTGACCGGTAAAGTGCCGTGGATAGCGCCCACCGCAGAGGATCTCAGGAAGAAAATCCTTGCTGAACCCCTCACGTTTCCTACCAAGCCACAAGTCTCAAAACCCCTCAGAAGACTACTATTGAAGATGCTCGATAAAGATTCCAAAAATAGAGCAACAATGCAAGACATCAAGGTAATATTTTACTTTTACAAAACTGATCGAAAATGGAAATATATGATGTCCTGTAAATATGATGTATAAATTATAGGCCAAAGACGAATTAATATCTATAACTTTATTTATTTGTGATGATATATTTGCACATCTGAAGGTTGCTGAGACATCAAATATTAGTATAATACAAAAATATTTTACTATAATAGATAAATCAAACATCATACGCGTCGGAATTGTGTGGAAAAGAGTTCTGTACTAAATGTGAATTTAGACTTTAACTTTAGTAGTGTTGATGTTTTTGAATTTTGATATAATAAAATTTTGAGTCGAATCGGTACATTAAATCTTTTTTGGTAAATCTTATCAAATAGTCATTATTATCGATACAGAGGCCGAATCTATAGTTTTTAGAATATTTGTCGTTTCTTTGTTTGTCTGGGAACGAATCACGATAAAACCATTGGATAGGTTTTGATGACATTTAGTATGACGATAGCGGGTTACCCGGGTCAACATAAAGAATAATTTTTACCGCGGGAAAACATCTCACCTTTGAGAAATCTATACTAAACGTTAACATAACCTCAATTATATAATTCTACCTTCGGATCTTATTAAGAAAGAAAGGGATAAACGTTAAACTTCCTTTTTTTTCTCTCGGAGAAAAAAGCCAGATGGACACACAATTATACCTGTAATATTTCCATTTTATCGTTTACAAAAATTGTAATTTAATAACAGCAGAAATAAAATTATAACTTTTTAACTTATTTTCAACCTTAAACCTAACTCGATATATTCATTCAAAAAATCTTATTCCATGAGACCAAAATGTTTCCCTCAAAAAATTTCAGAAGTGCGAGAATCGGCTTTGAACCCGCTTCATTTGTTTTTCTAAGCTCGCGTATTAATCTTTAAGTTATTATTTTAAGTTATTATATTATTATTATCTTTAAGTTTCATATTTTAAATTTAACCATACTCTGACCTGAATCAAAAAGAGTAATGAGTCCAAAGCAAATACTTTATAATCAGAATAATAAACTTGTTTGGTGCAAACAGAGTCGGACAGTCGGTACGTTTGTTGAAGGTCTCAGACTCAGTGTCATCAAATATTTACATAGAGAGCAAATGTTTATCTTTATATAACACCTTCTAGATTAATAGCAGCTGTCGCCGCTTCGGTCAACTGTAGATATACAGTTACATAAGTTTCGTGAATTCACATCAAATTATGTCACAGGCAAAGTTAACATAACCAATTAACATTATTACGTCATTACGTTAACAAACAAAGTTTTTCTTAAATATATATTTAACTAGCATTGCCCGCGGCTCTGCCCGCATTTAGATGACCAAAAACTAAATTCTTAGGTTTGACATATTAGTATACTCTTACATTACAGTTTTTGTATTTTTCTCAAAAATGAGATATTTTCCCGCCGTAAAAAGTACCCTATATGTTGACCCGGATAACCAGCTATCATCATACCAAAGTTCATCAAAATCCCTCCAGTGGTTTTTCCGTGATGCGGTAACAGACAGACAGACAAAAATTCTAAAAACTATAGATTCGGCCTCTGTATCGATAATAATGCCTATTTCAATAAGATTTTCGAAAAAATATTTAATGTACAGATTCGGCTTAGTTACAATTTTATTATCTATATAATAAGCAAACTTGACGTAAGCTTCTATAGAAATATATCCATTAGCCAAATATGCTTTAATAATCCATATTAATATTATAAATGTGAAAGTTTTTGAGTATGGATGTTTGTCACTCTTTCACGCCAGGACGGCTGAACGGATTTGATAGATTATAATAGCTTGGAATAACACATAGGCTACCTTTTATCCGACAAAAATGTACGGTTCCCGTGGGATAGGTTTGTTTTTGTTTTCCCTGAGGTAAACCCGAGCGAAGCGAGCGTGAGCCGTTAGTATATATATTATAAATTTAAGCGCTTAAGTGAAACTTTGTACATAGATCCCAGCTTTGACTAACTTAAGTACATACGTATTTTATGTACCGATAACGCGTTCTCGTAGAATTCTAACTATGCTTATACTTAAATGTTATTTTAGTTATGAACTAAACAGATTTTTCAAGCTCCAGACAGAAACTTGCCTCATATAATAAGTAAATCTAAAGAAATAGAAATCTAAATCATTTTTTAACTATTTTCTGTCAATCATAAGTATGAAATCTCTCGAGGATCTCGATTTCGAAAATTTTCAGAGTCTGAAAGAATTTTTCGAATTTTCGAGACTCGGAACTGCTATCTCTAATCTCTCTATCTCTAATCTCGGGAATAACGAGACTTTTGTGACTATCATTATTTAAAAATCTACTAAACCACTAGTCTTTTTTATTCCGCTTACGCGGCAGCACTGTATTGTGAAGCTTAGGGTAAGACAACAGAGGGAAATACTTAACCATTGCTATATAACTATTTATTATCTATCTAATACTAGCGTTGATAGAGCGAGGGTTTTTTCTAAATAAATGCGTAAATATAACGAGACTGAAAGCTTTAGTACATTAATGCCCGATTTCACCAACATCCCATAAGGTACCACCTACGTATGGGATCCCTAGCTTAAAAATCCCCTAAACTAGCCCCTAAATTAAATTTCGTTTTACGATCGTCTTTAAGCCCATATTTCGAGCACCTAAATTTAGGGGCCTTTTAATATTTAGGTGACCCCTAACTGTCGGTGAAACAGAAACTGTGCCCTAACCATGCTTAGGGGATCCCTTAAACTTAGGTGACGTTGGTGAAATCGGGTATAAGTGTAGTTATGCAAATTTCAAGACAAAAGCCAATTGTAAAGGTCGAATAACCATTTTTAAATCAATTTTGATATGGTGCATCTATTTAGATAATTCAGTAGTTATAGTAGAAATATTCTTCGAATTTCTAGGAGCACGAATGGGTCACACAAAATGGTAAGGATCCATTGCCTTCGGAACAAGAAAACTGTCGCCTGGTAGAAGTGACCGACGAGGACATGGCCCGCGTCGTCACGTCCATACCCAATTTATCCACGCTTATACTCATCAAGACTATGCTCAAGAAGCACAGTTTTCAAGTAAGTCCGAATTACTTAGTATTTCTTGTCTAAAATGGTTTATTCTCAGAAAAACAAAAATGCAAATTACCACAACATTTCCAATGAATAACTCTTAAAGTAATCGTGAATAATTGTGACGTCAATACTATTGTAAACTTGTAAAAACAAAATTCAAAAGTCTATTGTCTTATTTCGAAGTTTATTATTAGATAATAACATTTAATAAATATTATCTTTAAACCATATTTCAGAATCCATTCCTTCGTAGTCGAGAAGGCAGTTCACGACGAGAGTCGAGTGAAGTTGGCGACGTGGAGGGAGAAGGAGACAATGGAAGCTCAAGAGCAGATCGAGGACTCCGACGTGCCGCTCTCTCCCGATCTGGACGATCCTTATCAGCGCCCGGAAATTATCTCGCTGATAAGTAAGAATTTGAAATTAAAAAAAATCTATATAAGTATATAATATAATTCAATACGTAATTATATTACATACTTATATAGATTTTTTTTGTTCTCTAAGTTAAAGTTTGTTTTATTTATTTTACGTATCTCCATAACAATCAACGCCTATATGTTGCTTGTTTTCAACAGACAAACTTCCTTCGAGATCGCTCTGGAATCAGTACAAGAGACCAAAGAACGTGATGTGAAAACCACTAAAGAACCCAACGTTACCACCGCAACCAAATGCACAAGCCAAACAAACAGCTCGAAACCAGAAGAAACCAAACACAAACAGACAGAAGCATCAAATAATATCAAAGATACCAACCAAACAAAACCAAAAACATCCGAGAGTAACCAAAATAATGTGAACATTAAAAAGGTGAACGTAAACAATCAAGCCAACAATGTGAAGGATGCTAGCAAGGACAGTAAGCCGAACGGGAGGGATAAGGAAAGGTGATGCCGGCCACCTGCGCCATGCGCTCAGTTCTGAGATTAGTCCGACTTTAACTATCGATTAGTAAATCAATCTGTAAAAATGACCACTTTTTGGAACTATAAAAATTATTAAATGGTCTTCTAAATCATTTTAATATTCATATTATTCACTAAAATTATTCGTCACACTTTTCTTCGCTTGCAATTGCAATTTCAGAAATTTGCCGTGTGTCTAATGCTAGCTTTGAATTTCTGATGATATTACGAACAAGATTGAGACAAAATGGAAATGAACATTTTTAGTGGAATGTAAGCTTTGAAAAAATTGTGTAAATACTAATACCATTAAAGTAAACAAATATATTATATAACAAAATAGTGTGGACAACGAACATTATGAAATACTTTCGGCAAGAACACATTGTACCATAATTTTACTACGAAAATGAATGTTGAAATGAGTTGATATGTCATTGCAAGATATTTATTTTTTTTAAATATTTCTATTATTATGTCATGTGTTACATAAACATTAATCTTATTCAATTTTGATGGAATTTAATCCAAAAAATTAAATGTTGACTTAGTAACTTTTGAAAATTCTCTTTGGACCAAAAAGTTGTGACAGAAGTATTGACATCATTATACTGACATTTACGATATATTATACGCATTTTGACCAGAGAAGAAAAAGAGAGTACTGTTGTTGTGATTACGGTCGGTGTGAGGAGGAACTGACATTATAAAGAACGACGTGTGTATATATGACTTTATTTCTAAGAGTTATAATTATCAAAAGGGGTAGAACCTTTGTAAGCATTATAAACTGTCGCCATTGTTTTTTTTTTTATATAAATTTGCGACGCACAATAAATGAGTATTTATATGCGTAGATGACATTTGAATAAATAAAAAAAGTAACAGTAATATGGTGCCCTAAATTATAACGTTTTCAAAATATTTGAAAATAAAGATTTTATGTCTTATATTTATAAGAAAGAAATTTCTTGTCTGTACTTTTAACCATTGTGGAGTTGCTTTGTCTAGAGCCAATTCTAGATAGAGAATTAGTCGCTAGTATATTCTATAGTTCTCATTTAAGGGATCTTTACTTCAAAATATTTTACTACTTTGGAACCACCATATTGCTGATATTTTTGTTTACATAAATATCCTCTATCCATTCATACTAACCACATCGTGTGATGCTCCTTTGCAAAAATTGGCGGCGGATTGCTAATATCAGTTTTCCATAGAACAAAAAAAATTTCGAATCCCTTTAAATATATATTATACTTATTGTTTTTTTTATAATCAAAATTAAGTATTATTTTAAAAAGGCAAGGATAAAATATGAGTTTTCTTGTTCTAGAAATGTAAATAAAATGAACTAGAGGGAATATACAGCTCTCATTTTGATGTAAACTTTAAAAATTTATATAGAAATGATAGATTTTAAATTAGGCAAAACGTGTATTTTATTAGACGTTTGTGAATAAGAGGGTAAATGAAGCTGTTATTATGGTTAGTGATTTTTAATTTTATAGTTGTAGTGTCTTTTGAAATATTCGGTACTTTCATATTATACTTAGGATTTTAATAGATTTTTATCTCATTTTTATACTAAGTTTTTTTTTGGTTTACTTAATTTTTCTACTTAATGTTTTTTGCATAAATACATATATAGGCATGTATCATGTAATATGTTTATAAGTATAGATCAAAACAGTATTTGATACTCAATCAGCGACAAAAAATGTCCTCACCGAATGAGCGCTCATTTGAACATTTTGATCACGCTGTTATTTTTATTTTTTCGTCAAAACAACTTTAAGCATTGCATTTAAGGTTCAATTTACATTGTTGTATATTTTTTTCAACTAGAATAATTACCTAAAGACAATTGGTGATAGTTTTATGATAACATTTGCATGGGATTGTGTATCTAGTACTTTTTTGATCGATGGTCACAATATTGAAATGTACATGCGATTTATTTTTTTGTATTGATTTTTAAAACTAAGTCAATTTTTAAGTATTTTTAAATTATGATAAATTTCATGTAACACTACATTGATTGAGGATGGCACGCCACATATAAAGAAATCAATTATGTGAATTATATAAAAATATATATCGTCTGCAGCGACCCTTAGATATAAAAATGAAGCACTTAAAAGATATTTTTATAGATAATTGTAATATTATATGTAAATATTGTCTTCTTTATAATCGTCTAAAACTTCTGATGAACGTAAGTTAGTCTAACTTTTCCACCATCTTTAAAAATTTACGCACGTAATTTTTTAAAACTACCCCTAATATTACGCGTTATAGAAATATTCGCATGAAATTCACAATTTCACGATTCACTAGATATTTCTTAGATGTAACAATTGACTTCAAATATTTTATCTTTTAATATAAATAAATTTCGCAATTTTTAAAACTAATGTAGCCATAAGTTGTATTACAATTAAAATCAATTTTATTTTTCTAAATGTAAGGTAATTAAGGTATTACAATTGTAATTTAAATGCTCAAAGTACAGATTTATGTCATGATGTAAACATTTTTCACGTTTTAAATATTATATAGGGAAAATAACGGGATTATATTATGCGATATTTGATAAATAATATTTTAAAACCCCACGAAATTAGAAATTTACCATCCGCTCTATAAAATATATTATAATATATATTGTAATAGTTATCTCTGGTATTTTATAGTGAACCACATCGAACTAGACACTGCCCCTTTTATTTAAATCCTAATACACAAAATCAAAATATATTTATATATCAATTTTATATATAAGAAAACACTTAAAAAATCCTGGCTTTAAGCGTTTTAAATAAATAGTCTTTTTAAATTATTCAGAACACTCGCTATATAAAAACAAATATTTAATCATAATTTCTATGAAATTAAGCTCAGGCTAACATAAAAAACCTTGATATACCATAAAACTTTGAAGGATATATCAGATATCAAATCCAATATTTTTTTCTTCGTAAACAAAAAAGTTTATTCTAACAATAAATAAGAAAAAAATGTTTGAACTAACTTTTTTGAATTTGTGTTAAAATGCGAGTTGAACAATTTAATTCGCACATTTCATTTTGACGCAATATTGTGTAAGGTATACATACTAGCGCCGCCCTCCTGCGTGTGTTGCTTTTCCCATCTGTTTTTCATTGAACTTAAGATAAATGACCAATTTTGCTTAATATATAGAAATTGTATATATTATCTTTTTGATTTTGTAAACTATATACTTAATTTTCTTAATGTAATTCCACATTATAGGATTATTCCCTCAGATTAAATCTGCCAGCTTCTCCTTGAGCTTAGGCCATGTTACAGGGTTCCTGTAGAACAGTTCGTCTTTTAGTATGTCCAGCTTAGAAACGGGACCGGCTTTAGTGGATGCCTCATTTACTAATCGATTACAATAATTGCAATGAAATTACAAAAATACTTAATTATAATTTGTATATAACAAATGTTTTAATCGATTTAAGATAATTTAATGACTTAAGTCATTATTATGTGATGCTTATGTATAATCTGAACACCATTTAAGTTTTGATCGACTCTTCAAAAAGGAGAGGTGTTTAGTATGTGTTTTTGTATGTTGTTATAGGTATATGTATGTAGGTATCTTTGGGTTTAACTCACGGGTTCACATATTAATAATTTCAAAAAAAAATACCTCTTGAAGGTCACTTTGAAGTAATTTTGATGTTGGTGTGACCTTTTTTGATAAAAAGTGTTTCAAAATACTAATTTTTGACTTTGTTTCGAAATATCAATCTAGAAATCTTTAGATCTTATATAAACAACGAATTTTATCAAATCATACCACAGGTAGTACCTTCATATATAGTGTTACTTCGCTAACATTGTGGCACTTCACTAAAGCCGGACCTCTTAGTGTTTAGGATATGTAATTTCGCATTTTATCTTTGCAAGCGAATGGTCCAATTATATAATTGCCTTTACATGTTGTGATAGGTGATTAGATGTAATGCTTTATTATATATATTATATATTACAAAAATTCCGATAGTTTTTAAATTATTATCACGTATTACGATTGTGGTATCCAGAAAGTTATTTGCATCTCAATTTTGCTAGCATTTATCTTGTGTAATGTTTTGCGAAAGCTCTTTTAATGAAAACGCAGCAAAGCTTGGCCAAACCAATTAACTGCAGTACCTTTTTAGATGTTGTTTTCTAATTAATATCCAACATATAGGTACATGCATTAACACTCGTTTATATTAGCTATATAGTATGTGCGTGTTAAAAGATCTCTCGCAGAATAATCCATAATTCCAATTTTAGTGTGGGAATTCTGTTCATCAATTTTAAATCGAAGTCAATAAATACATTTTGATCTGTACATGTTTTATTATTTAACAAACTAGGTACTTAAACGAAAACTAAGAAGGTGCCATTAACTGCAATTATTTACAGAACAATAAAAAAACATGGGAGTTTGTACAAAATTTAATTTGATTTTAAGCACGTATAACAATTTTATGTCTATCAAATCGCACGAGCAGATGCCAGATAGATATCGATTCAGTTTGGATAATTTACATTGATATAAACTTAGACTAGACTAGCATTGCCCGCGGCTTCGCCTGCGTTCAGATGACCAAAAACCAAATTCTTAGGCTTTACATATTAGTATGCTCTTACAATGAAGTTTTTGTATTTTTGTTCAAAAATGAGATATTTTCCCGCGATAAAAAGTATCCTATATGTTGGACCGGATAACCAGCTATCATCGTACCAAATTTCATCAAAATCTGTCCAGTGGTTTTCTCGTGATGTGGTAACAGACAGACAGACAAAAATTCTAAAAGCTATAGATTCGGACTCTGTATCGATAATAATATCTATTTCAATTAGATTTTCCAAAAAATATTTAATGTACAGATTCGACTTTGTTACAATTTTTTTATATGTATAGATGACTCGAACTTAGTTTATATGTCATTCCACAATCATTGTAGAATACAAGAATAAAATTTGAAAAATTGCATTGAAATGACAAATTAATCATTATGTCATAGACTCGTAATGACATTCTGATATTTTTAAGCCCCAAGTTTATATATTAACCCCAAACTCATCTAGGGATGTGATAGATATAAAATTGGTCCTATGACTCAAAATCTATTTAAACTATCTATTTAAAATACAACAATAACTTTTTTACATCATTTTAACGTGCCTATATTTAAACAAAAATGTCCATAACATCAATCACATTACATAGCATGATATTGCAGAGCTGTCGCAAACAACTCAGCTAAAGGCTCGTTTGCATGTCCCTCGGGAAATCACGAATTGATAGCTTTTACTCGAAGTCGACTCTAGGGACGAACCGACATACTGACATATTAACACAAATTTGTATAATAGACACTACATATGCCTTTGTTTATAAAAGGATTATATAATTTGATATGTTCTATATTGTATCATGTTTACATTTATTACAGTCTCCAGTGGCAGGTCAGTGGTCGCTTGCTTGGTAACCAAGTGATGCGGGTTCAAATCCCAGGTCTCGCACCTCCAATATTTTTATATACGAATTATTTTCCACATAATTACCATTTATCTTACCGAGAAGGAAAACATCGTGAGGATAATAATAATACATATACATAACAAATAATAGGGGTTAAAGTATGTAAGTACGACTCATGAATCGATGTTCACCATTATTACTCCATGATAACGCGAGACCTCATACATCACGAGAAACCGTTTTAACTCTACAGGGACTGCAATTAGAAACCATTCGTCATCCTTCGTATTCGCCAGACCTTGCTCCAACGGACTACCATTTTTTTCGTGATTTGGACAATTTTCTACGTGATAAAAAGTTTTCTTCTCGGGAGGCAGTACAAAATGTTTTCACACAGTTTGTCGAATCTAGATCACTACAATTCTATCGCAAAGGCATAAATGACCTTCCTATTAGATGGCAGCAATGTATAGATAATAATGGTAATTATTTTGATTAAATATATATGTTAAATAAAAAAAACCGAACTTCAATTTTTCAGTACAAATCGGCAATTTCATACTTTAACCCCTATTATTTGTTATGTATGTGCATTATTATTATCAATATTTAAAACAATCAATGAAAAATTTAGTGTCACCATATACTTTTGTCACTTCATATTCATTCCATGAAATATAATAACTCATCAAACAAGCAGCGTTGATATTTGTGTTTAGAAAAAAATTAAAGCAAAAGCACTTCATCAATTTGAATATATTTCTTTAAAACAACACTTTTTAAAAAGAAAACAAAACTATAAACATTTTTATTATTATTATAACATCTCATTTATAGAAAAAATAACTATTATTAATTATTACAGTTTTTATTTATTTATATTTATTTATAATTATTTTGTATTTATGAGCAAAAATACATAAGCCCATAAACATTCTTCTTAATCTTTATTTTTTTTTGCTCCTACATCACTTTTTTCATCATTAATTTTATCTTTACTTTGTTCTAACTCCTCTACAGAGGTAGAAGGGCTCGATGAAGGCTCTCCTTTATCCTTGAATCCTTGTAAAACTATTAAGGGCACCGAATTGCTATCCCCACCAACATTCACTAAACTGCCTGATGGTACTGCCACCATGTTATTTTGTGGGTTTTGATTAAGTGGTACATAAACTTGGCCACTATTTTGAACTGTGCCTTGGCCACCACTCCATGGCACGCTAACTTGACCATTAGGTACGTAATTTTGTCCGTTTGATACCATGACCGGACCATTCGCTGGCTGCTCATTGCTTTGTATATATTGTTGGCTATTACTAGGTACTACTATTTGAGCGTTACCTTGATCAGGCTGACTATTCGCCAGAACATATTGTTGTCCGTTACTTGAAACAAATACATGGCCGTTGCCGTTACCGTTACTGGGTATATATTGTTGGCCGTTGTTTGACACTAAAACCTGCCCGTTACTTTGGATAGGCTGGCCGTTACTCACCACATATTGTTGGCTGTTGCTTGGTATCATCACTTGGCCTTGTCCATTGTTATGTCCGGATGTGTACATCTGACCACTAGTGACTGGTACTAAAGCAGTTTGACCATTGCTTAATTGAACAGTGTAATAAGCCTGTGGGCTTGGATTATTATTAACTTGATAATAGCCATTTGATTGACCGCCTTGATAAGATGCTGGTAAGTTATATAAAACTTGTCCAGGGTTATTTTCACTATAAGGTACGTTTACCATTGTATAACCACTAGATGTGCCCCCACTAGGACTCGAGTATACCACATTACTATTTGGTACAATATTAGATCCCGTGTTGCTAGGATTTTGGACGACATACTGAACAGGTGTACTACTTTGACCACTGACCGGCACATTTTGAGCATTATTTGCTACATAATTAGCTTGTTGACCAGTATTTACTGATGTTGCAGGAGGAACGTAAGATTCTTGATTAGATGAGGTTAATGCCGGTGCTATATTTATAGCGTATAAAAATTGGCCATTACCAATATCATTTCTGTCACTTTGGTTTGGTGATTGAGAAGCACCCATGTTGTTAACATTAATCTTTTGTTTTTGTATTTTTTCTTTAGCTTCGTTTAATTTATCTGGAAAAATAATTGAGTGTTTATCTCTATGCTTACTGATTGCAAAATCTAAATCACTATCACCTAATTCTACTATTTTATTCGTTTTTAATTTACCATCTTGATTACTTTCATTTTCTTTAGCCAACTGTAAGCCATTAACAGGTTCTTTAGTATCATTTAAAGATTGCTTAGAATTTGTATCCAAATTATTAGAGTGAACTTCGCCTTCAACTTTTAAATTATCACTATTTTGAAATGGAGCGCTCTCGCGATTTAGTTTCTGTCCTTCGACATCAACAGCTAAATCACTGTTGTTTATTTGGCCTTCTGGTTTATTGACGTCTAAGGTAGAATTTTTAGGATCCAATGTTGCAACTTCCGTGCTCGTATTTTGACTTTTTAAGCTATTAGGAACATTGACATGTGCATTGACACTATCAAGAACATCACCAGACACATTTAAATTTATATTAACATTAGCTTTAGGTGTTTCACTAAGACTATTAAGTGTATTTTGTTTATTTTCTCTTATATTTCCATCTAATCCAACGCTACTTGGTACAAATGGTCCCTGGCCATCGATATTAGTAGCTATTCCGGGTCCACTACTTTGAGCAACACCTGAGTCACTGCCATCAACATCTCCAATGCCATTATTTTCATTTATTCGTGCATTTATATCTTCTGACGTCGAACCATTATTTACATTATCTTGGCTAGGGGTTTCATTATTTGTGTTTAAATTACCTCCATTATCTCCTTGGCTAGCATCATTTGGTATATCAATATTAATTCCAGAGTTAGGTATTTGACTATCATTGTATATTTCGCCACTTGGGGCAACAGGTCCTGTAGAATCTGCAGAATTTTGCATATATGATCCTTCGTTACTCGATGATTCTCCTGGTTCTTGTGAACCTATGTTACCGCTTCCGTCGTTCCCTTCGCCAATAAATTCTTGAGAACCGAATAAATTTCCACTAAAAATATCTGATGGCTTAAAGTTAAAATCTAAGTCTGACAATCCTTGTGGTTTCCCATTATTCCCTATACCCGATTGATAACCTCCATCCCCAATCAATTCAGGCTTATGTTTTTCATGGAAATTTTGAAGAAAACTATGATCAAGGCTTTGTTTGATTATACTTGAAATGACCTGTGGTAATTCGCTTATGTGATGGAGTGCATGATGCTGATGTTGACCAAAGAAAACATGACATTTCACAACTGACACACATACCAAAAGTATAAAAACCTGAAAAAGAAATAATAAAATTACAATTTGTAACAAAAATAGGGTATCTAACGTCTTTTTTTTTTGTGAAAAATCTTCTGTGTATAAAACGTAAAATTATATCAAACTAAATAGTTATAATCAGTGCATTATTTTATAATAATATGACAAAAATAATTTATAATTATTGTGAGGTATGAGCAAATATTTTATACTGATATTCAAAAAATAGAAGGTGCTCTTACTCGTGTTAACCACGCCATAGCGATAATAAGAATGACCAAACAGTGATAAGGAAATATTATAAAGACGGTACATCCGGTAACAGGCCATCTTCGCAGAAATCTAATTGATTCAAAGTAATAATTACATAACAACTATTGTCTTAATGCATTAAATAGCGTAATGGAGAAGTAATCAGTATGTTAACGAGCGTACAGTCATTTTAAAGGAAAAACCACACGTAACGGATTTTAACAATCGATTATAATTGAAAATTAATTGTTTCATTCATTTAGGCAAGTGTATCTACGATTTAATGTCCATGATCTTAAATTAGACCTAATAAAATGACAGAAATAAAAGGAATGAAAAAAAATTTCGTCTCTGTACGTACTCCTCCAGGCTCCAAAAGGACTCTCCACTTTGCTCTTCGCTTTTGATTTGAAGATTGTGATTTCAGCACAATGTCTTCATAGGATGATACTTCAATATCCTAATCAGGCCAGCTTTATGGTTACTACATTTGTTAATTTTAACTGACCAACTGTAGGGTCGTGACGTCTTATTAACCGAGTTCAAAAAAAGGAGGAGGTTCTCAATTCGGATGTTTATATATTTTTTGATGTATGTTCGGGTGTAACTCCGTTATATTATTTTTTTTTATTCCGACGGATTTGCAAAAATCTATTTTTGTTTGAAAGAGGTCTATTCCGGCATAGTCTCATTCAAATTTGAAGAAAAAATCCACCCCTAAGTGTAAAAAATAGGGGACGATTGATTTTTCACTGAATTTTTAAAATACTTTCTTCCTATTTGGTTACTGCATTTAGATGTTACTACTATATTTATATACTAGCGGCTCACCCTCGCTTCGCTCGGGTTCGCCTCTGGAAAAGCACAAGCAGATCCATCCCACGGGAACCACTCATTTTGACTATTTAGTGTTTTTTTTTGAAGTCGGTTTTTATTTATAATTTTTTTAGTTTTTTGAGAAAGTTGTAAACATATTTTAAAGCAAATGAAATCCAAGTTTCGTTTTCTTTTTTTCGCTTGAATTAACCTAGATTCTAGTTCAAGATAAATAAATTTTTTGTTTTGCAAAATGATGATAATATTTAAAACATTAACAAGTTTTAGGCTACTCTTTGAAGCCTCTCTTTCTGACATTGCCTTAGCTTTCATATCTTGTATTATGTAATTTTACAGCAGCGTCTTGAGAGTCCAATCATTGAAAACATAAATTGGGGCTTTCGCTATAAAAGATCAAGAAGAGTTCTAATTTTTTAATTTGAGTTTTAAATTTGCGACCTTGAAGTACAGCCGCTAGCGCGTTGAAATTATATTTTAACCCAGTTTTTCGAGAATATGATCCAGATCATCTAGGTTAAAAATGGTCATTGCAATAATTATTAAGTATGAAATTTCCTGCAGCTTGGGCGGCAAACATTTTTTAATCAGATAAATAGTTTTAGAGTTACAGCAAAGCAAAGTTAAGCACAGCAAATTACAAATCGCCACATTGCTATATTTTTTTCTCGCAGTTTCAGTAAATATCGACTACTTAATCCTAAAGTAGGCCTTTGGGCTTACTTCAGTGAAAACGACAAAAGATCCAGCACCCGAAGCAATCCTTATATTCATTTCGTGCAAGTGCAAAGAATGTGGTCGAGCCTGTGGGTGTCGAAAAAATATATAAATAGTAACAAAATTAAAAAAAATATATGTTATATTTAGTATATCTTCAAAAAATAGACATGTTTATATATATATATATATATATATATATATATATATCCATCTTTGACATATTTGACCACAGTAATAATTATAGTTATGACGCATCTTTCACACAATTTAATTATAAAGTATTTAAGATAAGGAAATTTTTTTTCGTCTAAATATAAATTTATAAAAAGCCAAATTTAAGTGAATTATATTTTCAAATTTAATGCCTTTTTTAATTATTAAAATATCACTAAACAACTCAAAAAACACTATGATCCATTTTCAACAATTAGAAAAAAAAAATCTATCCCACGGGAACCGTACATTTCAAAAAGTAGCCTATGTGCTATGCTGATATATGAGCTATATTATTGTATGAAACTTTCATTAAAATTCATTCAGTAGTTTTTGCGTGAAAAAGTAACAAACATCCATACATCCCGACATCCATACATCCTCAGAATCTTTCGCATTTATAATATTAGTAAGAAGTAGAATAAACTAAAATATTATTTGATTATTGAAAATATATTAAATGACTTCAAAGTAAATTACAGATTAAACAAAAATGGTTAAACCCTTATTAATTTCGTCCCCTTTCTTTTCATATTTTCGCCCGACAACCGCTAAAGACTCAGGGATGATCGGCGCCCGCAGTCCGTACGAGGTCGCCGTCCTCTTCTCAAAACCGAGGCCTATACGACCCACCAGCTTGTCATATTCTGCTTTATCCTCTTGCGGGGGTTTCTTTACATAACCTATATATTCTTGAATATCTTCGTTTTTCTTTGGTTGGCTGCTTCCCTTTTGTGACTGACTTCTGCTTCTAGAACTTTTCGTTTTAGAACTCTTTTTCTCAGACCGTCTATTAAATGTGGAATCTTGTTTTCCATTAAAATAACCCGAGAATATGGTATCGTATAGCGAATTTGCGACGCGTTGGTCAGATACATCCTTCACAGTTTCTAGCACGTCTTCAGAATATACTAAGAGTATCGAAGAGAAAACGACCTGCGAAATACAATTTAGCAATCATTACATAATATTAAAATTTCAAGTCGCTAGTTCCAATTACAGCTATTCGCGTCTGTGTTTGTTGCAGTCAATTTTGAATCAGTTTTCACTATAATTTATGGTATTTCTTTTTATTATATATTTAATATATGATATGATTGGAACTAATATGTGCGGATCATAGTATCGTAAATGAAAAAGTTACGAACGCATTCAAGCAAAGCGAGGGTAAATCATAAGTCTATTAATATAATAATATTAATATCCGCATTCTGCACTGTAACTTGGTGAGTTGACAAATACACATCACTCCAATTTTATCTTAAAATAACCACAACTAAATTTGTAATTTATTTTTTATTTTTTTTCACAACCATAATTTGCCAAAGGATATATTTCCCAACATATATGATTATTAGTCATAATTTATAAGAACAAGAATTATGCCACACAAAATAAGAGAACGTGGTTCAAATAAGCTTGAAAAAAATATTAAGGACCCACAAATTGAAAATCTACATATATAGCCTATGACCTTCGCATTATCAAGACGAATCTAACGATGTATGAATCATTAAAATCAGTTAAGCTGTTTAATATTTACGAGGAAACATAGGATCGAAAAAACATACATACAGATCAAACACATAACCCTTCTTTGGGTTTCACCGCAGTCGGGTAAAAAGGCGATATTATCGCTTATTAGCGATTTCATTTAGACAACCATGTGATTAGAAAGTTTGAAAGTTATTGAATATTCCGAAATATTTTTAAAAGTTTTTTTTTATGGTATTCAGTGACAAACGAGCAGACAGCCCACCTGATGGAAAGCGGTACCTGTCGCCCATAACATTACGTTTCATGCACTTAGGTTTCATGTAACAAAAATACAGAACCGCAAGTGCGTTGTCACTGTGAGAACTAAGATGATATGCCTCTTGACTGTAATTCTGGTACCTTATCCTTCAAACCGGAACACAACAATGCAATCATTGTTGCTTGGCGGAAGAAATAGATAAGGGTTAGTTAATGATGATGATGTTCTTCTAGCATATTCCGGCTACGGCGGTCAATCTCATTGGCACTAGCCAACTGCGCAGGAGATATTATAGTGCACAAGTGTACGCGCAGACACAACGTGCACTCTCTATTCCTGTCACTCTCATACTCTGGTGGGACGACAACTCGATACGACCGGTGAGAGTTAAGGCGCAGGAACGACGGCTTTTTAGTTAGTTAGTTAGTTAGTTATGACGGCTTTACGTCCTCTCCGAGGCACGGGGGTGAAACACCGCCAACTTCCCAACGCCGGGCTGTTACTGAGGCTTACTCATACAGAAAGACTCAATAACTAAACTTGGCCCGACCCGGGACTCGATCCCAGGACCTCCAGGTGTGCAGCCGTACATGCTAGCCACACACCACCGAGGCAGTTGATTAGTTAATAGTTACTCTTCTACTTACGTGTTATATAAATTAATAAATAAATACAAACCAAAACAAACAACTTCATGTCTAATTTCCTTCAAACGTAACGTCTACGAACACAATGTATCAGCGATTTGAATACGCATGCTTAAATATACTCTTAAATAATTACTATACGTGCCAATAATTGCTTAATGTCCGAGATGGGTTTAAACTAGATTATTGGCCTCATCTTTATTCTTCTGTTTAAAAAATCAAAAGGTCATATTTAAGAAATAAAATATACTTTGTTATACAGAACGGCTGAACTTATCTGAATGAAATTTGGCACAGAGATAGATTAGGTCTGAGATAGCACATAGGCTATGGTTCCCATGGGATAGATTTATTTAGTTTTTTACTAATAGTAATTACTACTTTGCTAGTATAAGAGTAAGGGAAATAAATAATACAACAAATTGGTGAAAGGCTAATTTATTCAGTCTTATGAATTATAAAGTATTTACATTTGTACATAACTTAAATATAATGAACTATAATAAGTGACCCATAACTAAAAATAACTTAAATTACACATCGTCCATTTTCAAAGCCAAGTCGGTAACCAGTAACAACATTATTTTTTTTGTTGAACAGATATTTTTGAATGGTTAAATTATACAAAAATAAGTTACTTAGGTTATATTTTATAGTTTGTTCTTTAGAAAAAATGTTCTAGAATAAATAAAAGCACATTTTTCTCACGCATAATTCACCAGGAGTAACTTTTCAAATTGATTAAATATGTTTTGTTCCTAAAATAACCTTTAGAATATATGAGTTTTATGATTACATTTGATAAAATAATATGGTTTTCTAATTATAGCGTCTATGTCCGCTGCGGTGTAGTTCTCGCGACATTCGCACGGGCGCAGAGTGGCGGGTTCGATATCGTTGTTATTATACCTACGACAAGTTATGTTGCTACTGGCTATTACATATTAGGGGTGCATTTTCATTTAAAACAAGAATTTCTTTTATAAACTCCAATGAATATACAAATAATATTTTTTCCAATAACAAATAATGTTTCGAATAATCCAATAACACCCCCCAATAACACTCTCTTGTAACTTACCGCTGCCGCTGGCGGGTGGCATCGGTGAAGCGCACGGAGACGTCGCTGACGGCCATGTTGGGCGTGAGGAAGTCGGCGAGGCTGGCGGCGGGCGTGGGCCGGTCGAAGGGGAAGCCCATAGGGCGGCGGTCCGGGTACTTGCGGTCGCGGATGCCGCAGTACGATGCCGCGTCGTTGCAGGTGCCCACCAGGTCTTGTGCGATCTATGGATTGATTGAAATAATTAATTTGTTATACAATTTACTTGTTTATGACATCAGTGTCGGCGATTTGTGGACTTAAGCTACACTATGGGAGTTATTAGAAACTAGGAATTTTGCATTTGATTAGTATGTAAAAATTATTAATTTTATTAAGTTCATATTTGTTTCTCATAGCTAATAATTGGCATTTTGTGTTTTCAAGGACAATTAGTTAAATTTCAAACATAGTATCATTAATATTTCATCAGTCAAAAATATGTTGACCAAGATGTCTAATATAATGTGAAAATAAAACAACTTCTTATATTTATAACTAACGAAAACAACAAAGATTATAATAAATAAAAATCGCAAAGGCATTTAGCACTTACCCTATCGTCATTCCAATTGGTGATCATGCAGAACAGCACCATGGGGTACCCTTGCGTGGTTCCCTTGGGTATGAGCATGTGGTGCGGCCACCCACAGCCACAGAAGTCGAACTCGGCTGCTTCTGCAGAGCCAGGGTCGCCAGGTCGGTTGCTTTGGCTACGGAAGGTCCTCTCGTAGGGGATCGTGACGGAAGAGTCCAAGCTCTTACGCCTGATCGTGCTGTTACCAGCGGGCACTGTTTGGTTGGAATGCTTAGTTAGTTAAATTGTTCACATATTTGCTTTTTTATTCATTATGCTACTTAATGTAGTAAGTCAATTTGTTAGGAATAGTTTCATTAAATTTTATATCGTCTATATCAATAGTAATAGCTTATATTTATGAATAAAAAGTTTAAACGAAAGTTTTGTTGGAAGTGATGATTAAATTAATACGAGTACATTATAAATTACTTACAAGCTTGAGTGAATTTATCCAATTCGATCATGAGACGGCGTTGGTCGTCGAACGAGAGTTGTTGGCCATTTTCATCCAACACAGGCGCTAAGAATATGCGCACCGTTCCCATCGCGCCCGACCCGCTCGAGTTGTTCACCTCGATCCTGGATATACAAATTATAATATATAGAGATACTATATACTAAAAGTTAATTATTTAAAATTAAATTAAATATTGTGTTTAAATACTGTGGTGAAATTGATCTCATGATTATTATGTATTAAGAAAAGCAAATTTACTGTCTCATAATGGCTAATTATGTTACAGATTTAAGGTATAACGAAATTTAATATAACATCTTTTTATAAATCATAAACTTAATAAGTTGTCTTTCAAAAGCGATTGCAAACAGCGTTCTTTTATTGTAATTAGAAATGAACTATTTTCAATAAAAGTTTTATATTATTCAAATACAAATACTATAAATTTGACTTTTTTTCTTTAAACTTATTTTTTTTAACTATTTTATACCACATCATAGGCTCTACACATAGGTGTTGTTCCAGGTCATAGCCTATCTGTGTACTAAACATCCAAACCCGTTCAGTGTGATAGACAACACACAAAAACACTAACTCTCATAATTATAACAGCTCGATTATATAATAAGACACTCGTAACTTACACATATTCGAACTCGTCGTGCTGCAGGTGCGTGAAGCGCGCGAGCACGCTGCCGCGCGGCGAGAAGTCCAAGCCGCGGCCGAGGTCCACCGTGCTCTGCTCCCACTGCGTGCGCAGCGCCGGCCCGCCCGCCAGTGACACGCTCGACACGCGGATGCCGGGGAAGTCCAGCTGCCGACGAAAAGCACGCAACGTCAGACACAAAGGACGGGAGAATGACATATATGCATCATATTTACGGACACAAAATATAATCAGGTAGGACAACGACATACATAAATTACAGTCCGAAAACACATTTACATTTACTTTAACTAAAATACGGATTTACATACTACAGTTTCATCTGATAGATACACAAGATAAGAAAATGAAACTTATTAGTTGCTAATAACGTTATCGGGTATGTTGTTATTAGAAAAGATAAGTTGTTATTGGAAATGGAAATTGTTATATGGAAAATTATATTTAATTGTTAAATTGAGGTTTTGATTAATTTTTATTAACTGTGCATAAATTTAAATACATATTTCTACATACTCTATCCCTTCCGTAAGGTGGTAGTTTGCCCTTGTACAGCTGGAAGAGGTCGTCAATGTACGCGTGCCAGCGGTAGAAGATAGGATCACGCATGGCCGTCGCAGAGTCTCCCATCACACCGAATTGTTCCTATATAATGAAATGCCTTCATGTATGAAAAAATAGACAAAGGTATGTTTCATTAATATTGTGTAAGGCACTCTATTGTAGTGGAGTTTTAAAATCTTATGAATATCTCATTATTTATAATCTGTTTCTTCATAATAAATTCGTTTAGCTTTTTGCGTGATTTTATAAATTTTAATTCAGACGTAAATACAAAGACACTTATACATATATAAACATACCACATAAGACTACTACTTACGGTAAATACGCAGCGTTCCAGACCTTTAAAAACGGATTATTACTTATCGCATTTAATGTTTAAGTAATTTCACTCACTTTAGATTTAACTATGATTAACGGATTTTTTGTCGGTTTATTTTAAAGTTTGGTTTCTGGCGTACCTATTGAATAGTTTACTAAATGAAAATCAAAATACATCCGCAAAAAATCCAAAAAGATAGTTTTATTTAAAATGTCGAATATTTGCGTAGATATAAGTAAATATTTGTCTTAAAGAGCAGTTCCACATCCTCACCAGGTTCCTGTGGTCGGGGTCGTGGGAGTAGGAGATGAAAACGTGCCCCATGTTGTGGAGGTCGCCGTAGTAGGTGCGGTTGCGGCTGATGATGGAGGACTCCATGAGGTTGCCGAGCACGTCGATGCCGGTCTCCTCGTCCAGCGGCATCTGGCGCCCGTTGGGCTGTCATTTGTTAGATTAGAATTGAAACACTTTTATTTATGGTATATTGTTGAAGAATAGAATAGAGTAGCATAGAAAGAGCTTTCTAACAACATATATAAACGTATGATAATAATAAATAAATAAAAAGTTAAAATTAAAAAAAACTATACCTGTTATGTTTATGTATTATGAATTAATATAATTTTATTTTTATAAGCTTTGTCTGTTTGTAATATATTTTTGTTTAAATCTAAATTATTAATTAAAAAATTACGTGTACCAATCATAAAATTGACATAGTAATAATAATGACATAAATAATTAAATTTGAAAAACTTAAAACTTTTTTTAATTTTATTTTTTTGAAAAAAAATTATTACTATATCTTTATTTAATTGTTGTTAGCTTTTTTATTTTAATCAGTGTATTTCTCTTTTTATCATTAATTAATCAATTATTTTAGTTTTGGTTTGTACTCCAGACATGGGTGTTTATATTTATAATATGTATGTATTTAAAGTTATATATGTGTAATGTAACAACTATCTGGTCCTATCCATAACACAGGCCTCGTAGCTCACTATGAAACTAGATGGTGTTGTGTGTTAATGTCCCAACATTTATTATTATTTAATTATTTGTACCAATCCACCTATTTGGTGGTAAATATTGATCAAAATCTATTTAATCGTTAATTTGAAAGCTCAAAAAGCAGAAAACTAACCAGAACGATGGCCATATTGTTGATGGCTTCAATGAAGCGGTCGCGCCACGTCTCCAGCTCCGTGACGTCACTGCGGATCTGGTCCACGGGCCGGTCCAGGTCGCGGATCGTGGACCCGGCGAAGCTGAGGGGGCACATTTGTTATATATTTGTGGTCCATCTTTGTTCTCATTTTTTTGTACATCACTACACATTATTATAAGTTGACGTTGAGTTTGTGTTTGGTCGCGGATCATGGACCCTGTGATTATAATGGAAAACATTTGTTATATACTAGTGATTTAAATTTGTATTACTTGGCAGCTATGTGTTATTTTAGGTTTCGTCTAGCCGTTTTACCGTGAAAGCGTAACAAACATACAAGCACGTACAAATTATCGCATTTACAATAGTAGTAAAATTGTGGTCTATTTTTATTTTGACTTCTTATATATCACTTATAAATAAAGATTAAAACATGAAAATTAATTTTATTTCATTTAGAAACAATGTAATTTTACTTTCTTTTATTGTTATAGCTGTATTTTAATTTCTGTAAATAGTAAATACCATTCTTATTCAAATGACTTTATATCATATCATTCTTTAAAGTTAAAGTAATATATACAAAGTTGAGCCATCATAATAAGATCTCTGCAACAAGGCGCAGTGTCTCACCGCGGGGGCCAGGCGCGGCTGGCCACCTGCGAGTCCAGCTTGGGGAAGTAGCCCTCCTCGATGGGCTGCCGGAAGTCGATGTAGCGCCGCGGCCGCGCCAAGTTGTTGCACAGGCGCTCCACGCTGTATCTGTTCATTAAATATTTACCATACATTAATAATATAAAGCTAATTTTCTTTATATATGAGATACTTTTACTATGTTTTCATTTATAAACTAGGTCTTTATTTTAATATTCTATTTTATTTATATATAAAGTAGCACATATATAGATGTATGACATTGATATACATAAACGGTCAATGTAGTATAATATACACAAGTGTCTTAAAAGTGTCCTTAAAAGAAAGTGCATAATTCAAAATTCAATTGCGCTTTTTTCAAATTTCTTTTGTTCATCGCTTTTCGGATGACAAAATTAAAACGCACGTTGTTTCATTTAAAAATGTACTTTAGGTGGCGTGCATAAGTTTAAATTTGTGTTGAAACAATTAGAACTTTAGATTTTTGAATTTTATTTTTTGGTTTGATTTAACGTCACATGTCGATGCCACTTTTTAAAGATATACTTGGTACTTATGTTTTATATATCAATGATGTATTATACTATACATATATGTATATATATGTATATATATATATATATATATATATCTTATAGTAAAACTTTTCATGCTATTCACCTTTAGAATGAAATAGCATAATTAAACCTTACGGCTTTTGAGAGAAAACCTCATCCCTCCCAAATTCCCCTAAAAACTACACAAAGTTATAAATCAAATTCAAAATTATGTTTTACAAAACTTTAGAAAGGAAATTTTTGTTTATTCCTATAACAATTGTTGCGGAACTTACCTAGCTATGATCTGCTGGTGCATGTAGTAGAAGAGCTCCCCGCGCCGGTCCTTGTCGACGATGGAGCGGTCGGCGGAGTCGAACGGGTACACGAGGTGCCAGTGCCAGTGGTGCAGGTTGATGCCAATGTCTTCGCGGAAGTACGCCACGGCCTGCTCCGGCTCCGAGTCCGCCGCCGTGTAGTTTTGCGGGATGAGCAACGGGATCTGATAGGGTGTTTATGGTTTTTGATATCTTTTGTTTAGTGACTTCCAGGAGCGTGATGGCACAATTTACTTTGCCACGAATTGAGAATGGAGAATACACGTTATATTTAGAATGGCCGATAAAAGAGAGAGAAAATCACTGGATCTGACTACTTGCTGAAACGGATTTTTTTTGGAATATATACATAAAATAAATGTCAAAGTCAAAAATAGTAACGTGATTTGCTGTTTATGCTACTCTCCTCGATATTGTCATACAAGTAATTTACTTTTTTGAAAGAATAAGGGTTTATAGTTAATATACAATTTTTGATAATAAAATACATATTTTATTATCAAATCATCATCCTATTATATATAAATAATGAAAATAATATATACTTTGGTATTTTTAAGCATTATTTCTTTTTCCCCTGAAAGAGATATTTTTTTTATAGTAAGATCATTTTTTTTGTTAACTACTTTTATTTGTTAACATTTATTTACTAATCACTCAGTATACAAATTATATTTATATATCACTTTAAAACATTATTTTTTGGCTTCATGTTTAGTTCTAAATCTATCTATGATTGTTGAAGACGCCGGAAAAAGTTATGCCGACTTATCTTAATTGTATTCAGCCTTTTTTTAACGTCCTACTGATGGACCTCAAAGGGATCAGGCCATAGCGCACCAGCCAAGTGCGGGTTGGCGGGCTTCACAAGTTTTTCGAAACCTTGCTAAGTCACGTGAAAATAAATATAAGGAGTGAGGCTCGGGATTTGGACCCACTTCACTCGATTTTCCAAAAGAGCGTGTTACCACTAAGTTACCACTGCTACTGTTAACAAACTAGGTATTAATTTATTGATAATGAATGTTACCCTGTCCCCAGGCTGCTCTATACTGCTGGTCTCTCTCGCCTTGCGGAACACCTTGGGGTCGACGAACTTGTCGGGGAAGGTTTCTGCGAACGACGGAAAGTTCAGACCCTTGGTGTCCTCTCTGAAAATTTATCATTTCAGTGAAAAATTATTTTAAAATCCAAACATATAGCATACTTTGTAAGAATTTTGATTCAAAATTCATAATAACAATTTAATATTGAATTATCATTTTGAAAAACTTTTTAAATTTTTAACCTTCATAATTGTCAGCATATAAGGAAAGTACAAATAATTTTTGTTTACTTTTTTTGTAGATAAATATTAAATTAAATGTTATTTAAGAACATTTTTTTTATTTAATCTAGTCAATATATTATAATACAATATAAATAAAGAAAAATGAACAAAAGTCACTTTATTACCTGTGCAGCAAAGCAACGGAGAGGCAGTAGTTGAACATGTACGGGTTGATCCTCAGCTGACAGTACGAACAGACGGACAACAAGTCGTCGACATCTCTCATATCTATAAGTATATAAACATTTTTTTAACTGACGGAAAAAAAGGAGGAGGTTCTCAATTCGACACGTTCTCGTATATTTTGTTTTTGCTTTTTTATGTTTGACCACGCATAACTTTTTACAGTCTAGTTCGATTTCGATGATTCTTCTTTTTATTGGATAAGGTTTACCTCAAAGTTGGTTTAAATTAGAAAAAAAATAATAATAAAAAATAATAATATTATTATTTATATAAGTGTAGAAAATATGGGATGATTGATTTTTCAAATACTAAATTTTTAAAATACTTTCTTCATATTTTGCTACTATATACTATCTATATACTACTATAGGTCTACATTAAAAATGGAAAAATAAAAACTTAAAAAAATAATAAAAACGGACTTCAAAAAAAACACTAAAAAGTAAAAAATAACTGATTGGTAGTTTTCATGTTGTATGTTTCATGTGTACTTTGATTTGTATTGGCTGGCCCTCTTCCTATTTGAACTCGGTTTTTATTTATTTTTTAAAGTTTTTGTAATACGAAATTTATGTAATAGAAACTTATTTTAAATTAAATAGTTGAATTTTTGTTTTACTTAAACAAAAATTACATAAACAAAAATCTGTTATCTTTTCACGGTTAAACCGCTGAACAGATTTCGATAAAATTTGGATCTTACATAGGCTACCCTTAAAATTCACCCTATTCAAAATCTAGTGTGATATCTATATATGTATATTAACATTCTTACTCATGAAAACATCAATGAGGTTGCCCGCCATCTTTCTGTGCTTGGGCACGAAGAGTGAGAACTGGTCATGGTAGGGCAGTTGCATGGGCAGAGACAGGTTGGGTAACGCTATGTTCCTCAAGGGTATGGGGGTGGCACCCTCACCGAAACGGCTGGAGAGCACATTGCTCGAATCCTTGTACTTCTCAGGCTAAAAAAAATAATGGATGCTCATTAAAAAATGTTCATACGTATATGTAATAAAAATAATGATAGATCTTTATAAATCTCTCAATATTTGGTATATTAATATTTTTCCTTAATATAATAATAAATAATTTATTAATAAATATTATGTAAATAACAAGTAGTACGCTTACGATAAAAATAAACCAGTATAATATAAGTAACCGGTAATAATAATAAGTTATATACAAATTTACATTACAATGTATAAATGAAATAAAAAAAAACAATTCATAAATATCTTGGGAAATTTTTAAGTTTTAGAATTTAATTTGGAATAAAATAAGCATAGAAATTTAAAAAAAAAAACTATCTTTTTGGATTTTTTCGCGGATTTATTTTGATTTTTGGTTCCCGACGTTTAATTACGAATACCATGAATATTTTTATTATTATTTAAAAAAAATTACATTATGAAATATTTAATAAACTAGCATTGCCCGCGGCTCCGCTCGCGTTCAGATGACCAAAAACTAAATTCTTAGGTTTTACATAATTAGTTTACTCTTACATTGCAGTTTTTGTATTTTTTCTCAGAAATGAGATATTTTCTCGCGGTAAAAAATATTCTATATGTTGACCCGGATAACCAGCTATCATCATACTAAATTTCATCAAAATCCCTCCAGTGGTTTTTCCGTGATGCGGTAACAAACAGACAGACAGACAGACAGAAAGACAGACAGACAAAAAATCTAAAAACTATAGATACGGTCTCTGTATCGATAATAATGTCTATTTCAATAAGATTTTCCAAAAAATATCTAATGTACAGATTCGGCTTAGTTACAATTTTATTATATGTATAGATATTGTGAAACTCACGAAATAATTGCTGGGCAGTTGGAAAACTGAACCGTCTTTTGGCATAAAGCATGGCTCAGTAGGTCTGTCGAAGAAAAGTAAAAGATTCTTCTTTTTATCAGTCATGGTGATTTACTGAAACCAATTAGAAAACATGGTAAAAATTTCACACAAGAAAAGTCTAAATAAAAAAAAGTATTAAGAATGAAAAAAAAATAGTTTACGAAAAATGATAAATAAAAATTTGTATCGTGAATAACAAATAAGTTAATAAGAATATATCTTAACGAGTTCACAATAATCCTGTGGTCTTTATATAATCAATAAGGAAAACAGTAAATAGCAATAAAAACAAATCTAAAAATATATCAAAATCATTCTAAGTAAGTATTTAATAACAGTGAACAAAACTTACCTTTTTAATATATTTTTTTAAAAACAAAAAAAAATCCTTTTTTATATATATTTTTTTTTAAATTTAAACCGTCAAAATAAGTATGAAGAAATGACTAAAGACTTCCGGCCACCCGCTTGTACCGCGGCTGACTGTATATACTTGCTAGTATATTACAGTATTTATACTTGTCGGTCTGTGTGTGCAAAATGTAAGTATGAAACGGGTGCAAAAGACTACAGGGAAGTTGCGGTCGCGGTTTATTTATCATGAGGATATTTGGTCGCTGCAAGCTTCTGATAATTACTCGTACTCGTATGTTATGGATCGTACCTGCCATTTTTTAAATATCTTCTGTACACCTACAGTCTTCTTATTATTTACTAACATGAGTACATCTGTACCCAATTTCAAGAAATTAAGACGAATTCTAATTTTTTTGTCTGTTGTCTGTTTGTTACGCGATATACTCGCACCACAATGACTACTTTGGCCAAACTTCCAGTGAATAGTACTGTTTTAACTCTAATCTTGTAAATAACTTTTTAGATTAATTGAAGTTCGATCTCATTTATGTAAAAAATATCCTTAAAATGATTAAAAATTACAATGATGAAGTCAGACTAGTATTGTCACGTTACATGTATAGGTAAATATAAATACTATTGTTTATCCTGTTTTGGTTTTTATTTTAATAGCTATTAGTTAATCAGTTATTTCGCTAAGGTTTTAAGGCTTAGTATAGACTTCTCAGAGATGAGATATTTTCCCACAGTAAAAAGTATTCTATATGATGTTTCATACCAAATTTCATCAAAATTTGTCCAGTGGTTTTCACGTGATGCGGTAAAAGAGAGACAGACAAAAATTCTAAAAACTATATATTCGGCCTCTGTATCGATAATAATGACTATTTCAATAAGATTTCCCAAAAAATATTTAATACATATATAGATTCGACTCAGTATTTAGAATTTTATTATATGTATAGATTTGTCAAAGTTCACCGGGCTTTGAAAGTAAAAGAAAGTGAAGGGGATTATCGTCCGTACTGGAAATCGGCTAGCAGGATATTATAGTTATAAGTATTTCGGATATCACCAGACTAAAGTAGAACATCAAATGTTACTGTCCAAAAACTTCTTAGAAAATCTCTTCTCTTGTCTTGTCTGTTAATAAAAATAATGACCGACGTACACAACATAATATTATTCGTCACAAGATAGCTAAACAACATCTGTATACCTATTGGATATTCATCTATATTAAAAAAACCTAACATGACGAAAAGGAGATCAGGCGTAGGCGTACTGATCTTTTCTAATTCCCCTACTTAGAATTTCGTGACGGAAAACTGTAATAACTCTACTTTGCCCGACCCGGGACTTGAATCCAAGACCTCAGAATTTGGTGCCGTACATATGAACCACATACGAACAATGAGGTTATTAAAGGTGTACAATTGTCAGACAGACATTTTCTTTAGACAAATAAAACTGTAAATAAATGAGTTAATTTTGATGTTACTCATACAGGAAAAGGTTATTCCCTGAACGAAGAATATTAATGGCTAAAGTTATTATACATAGACCTTTCTATGACATACTATGTATATAAATGGTGTGACGCTTATTTAACAATATCAAATAATAACTTAATTAGGTAAATAAATATAAATGTGTTGGGAAATTAACACACATCATCTAGTTACATGGAAAGCTATGAGGCCTGTGTTATGGATACCAGATTGTTGATACACTATACATATGTAACTTTAAATACATACATATTATAAATATTAACACTCAAGACTGGAGTACAAACATCCGTGCTCATCACACAAATGAATGCCCCCAGCGAGACTCGTACCCGCGACCGTTGGCGCAGTAATTAGGATCGCTACAAACTGAGCCAAACGTGTGGTCAATTAAATTTAAATTCGAGATTCCATTTTATACTTCAACATAAGAAACGTTTCTTCAAATTGCTTCAAATTTGATTGAAAGATTGTATCGGGGACATACGTATAAGTATTTATTATAGACAAATTTTGAGTATGACTTGAACCTGTGACCTTAGGCTATCTACAAATAAGGAACTGTTTATATATTTTAATTCTATTAACGTCTTTGTAATCTATACATATAATAAAATTGTAACTGAGCCGAATCTGTACATTTAATATTTTTTGGAAAATCTTATAGAAATAAACATTATAATCGATACGGAGGCCGAATCTATAGTTTTTAGATTTTTTGTCTGTCTGTCTGTCTGTTTCCGCATCACAGAAAAACCACTGGAAGGATTTTGATGAAATTTGGTATGGTGATAGCTGGTTATCCGGGTCAACATATAGGATACTTTTTACCGCGGGAAAATATCTCATTTATGAGAAAAAATACAAAAACTGCAATGTAAGAGTATGCTAATATGTAAAACCTAAGAATTTGGTTTTCGGTCATCTGAACGCGGGCGGAGCCGCGGGCAACGCTAGTATATTATATAACTTAGTATCATTCGTGGTTAGGCATTAAAGTAAGTAGCGTTTAATATTTTAACTGTAATACAGCAATAATGTAAGCAAAAAGTTTGTTATATTTTAAAATTAAATAGCACTTAACTCTTGAAGGTGTAGCCATTGAGGTGTTCTATCCATCACCTGAATCCAAAGATCAGATAAATTTTATCATTTTTTTAAATAAATGATATCTATACATATAATAAAATTGTAACTAAGTCGAATCTGTACATTAAATATTTTTTGCAAAATCTAATTGAAATAGACATTACTATCGATACAGAGTCCGAATCTATAGTTTTTAGATTTTTTTGTCTGTCTGTCTGTCTGTTACCGCATCACGAGAAACCCACTGGACAGATTTTGATGAAATTTGGTAGGATGATAGCTGGTTATCCGGGTCAACATATAGGATACTTTTTACCGCGGAAAAATATCTCATTTCTGAATAAAATACAAAAACTGCATAGTTAGAGTATACTAATATGTAAAACCTAAGAATTTGGTTTTTGGTCATCTGAACGTGGGCGGAGCCGCGGGCAATGCTAGTATATTATATAACTTTTATAAAGCATAAAAATAATATATCCTCATTTTTGTATGTACCTAAATAAATTAAAAGTATGTATACGATAACATAACTATGGCCTGATCCCCCTCATATTGAAAGGAGGCCCGTGCCCATCAGTTGGACGATTAAACATACAAAAACATATATTTCCCATCCCTACGACGCTGAAAGCCTCATATATAGATTTAAAAATATCTTCGCTCTTTCATTGTGAGAGTCTACCCACTTCGTAAATGTCATCCAACTCGACCCTGAGCTAAATGGATCATATCCCCCTACACATAACAAGGTATATAAAGCATCTTTATTGAATTTATAAAAATCCGCTAGCTCATATCGGTAGTTTTGCCTGTCTTTATTTTTACATAAAAATGTGAGTTTCAGTAACTAAATACTATTCTATCGACAGTATTAAATTGTAGCTATTCAAGTATTTATAATTTCTATGATTTTCAAGCAATTTTCGAGTGATCATTTGACACGATATACTGATAAAATTGCAAAAAAAATATAGTTTTGATAATCATCGAAAAAGATAAACATACAGACTTTAAGATAAAGTTTATTCCACTCACAGTTTTACATTTTAATTTATGCCCTTATTCATGCAAAAAATATATTAATCGGTCTATAATTAATTTGCGAAGATATCGATTAAAATACTCACAGATGTGTGGGAAAATTGAGTATAGGTACTCTTCTTTTTTGAAGTCAGTAAAATATAATACCCGTTAAGTCCAATACCTAAATTTTATCAGAAGTTGTATAAAATAATTAACCCTGAACGTGACTTTCACTCCATTTGCTTATACTTCAAGTAGATCGGTCGATTTTGATTAACATTATTTTCAAGGGTACCGACGTACGGTACTAAGCTTTCGGTATCCATTCCACGTATAAACCACTAAATTGCAATACGTGCCTACGCGTAATAAAAAAATCAAAAAGCACCTATACACCTAATATTAATAATCCTGAATTGAAAACAAACAGATTGACATTTTTTTCTTTTTTATCTACAAATACTTGTTTGAACTTTGACTTTACCGAGAACTGGTGGCAATTTCCAAATCAAAGACAGACGTTTTAATTTTATTATATGTATAAGTATATTTTATTTTTTAATTAAATGTAAGTAAATAGAACCGATAAAAGTAATTAAAGCCTGACCTCTCGCAACCTATGTATAATGTATTATGTATGTAAGCTACGCCATTTGGCCAGACGGTCGTCCATGGAAATAGCGCCTATGAAAATTTAATAGCAATATTTCTTTACTGAAATTGTAACGACTATGTTGGGACATTAACACACAGCACCATCTAGTCCCATGGCAAGCTACGAGGCTTGTGTTATGGATACAAGATAGTTGATACACTACACATATATAACTTTAAATACATACATATTATAAATATAAATTTAAACACCCATGACTGGAGTACAAGCCTTCATGCTCTTCCTCATCAGCCCACGACCGCTGGCACAGCAAATAGGGTACACTACAAACTGAACAAAACATGTGTCGAAATAGAACGTGTAGTCGATCTAAATGCACAGACTCGTACTGTAATATTCACCTTCTGGTTAAGTTTGTTTATATAATTATTACATAATGTTTTTATTTGAATGTTGTGTACTTA